TCTTTCATTTTATTTTATTACAATTTAATGGCAATAAATTAAGAGATGGACATAAAAATGATAAAAAAAGGCCACAAAAACGATTTGTACAAGAATTACAGCGACTCATATAAAAACAAATCACCTTATTTCAAGTAGATTATGATACAAAATATAAAAAGATATATATATGTAAAAAATACTACCTGTAGCAATAACATTACTGAAAAAAAATACAAGCTAATGTATTTTATCTACATTTCAATAAAAATTTCATAACTTTGGATTTAAAAATGCAGACATTTGAAGAAGAGCGGATTTCATGCTAAGTCAAAGTGTATAATACAATGCACTGCATAAACTACGCAAAAAGAGAGCACGAAAAACCTCTGTTGTTCAAGCTGACTCTAAGGTCACGTTTCACACTATCACGAACTCAGTCTCTCTTGTCACGAGCTATTATTCGTATTTGGCATATCAACACTTAATTAAAAACGGACTAATCACAAACTGGGTAAGAAAATGGCCAATCAAAAACGCCTACATTTCTCCTTGCGACTCTGTGGGATTCGAACACAATATGGTGCACTAATTCGCAGACGCTCTATACAGAAGGTTTAGAGCGTCTGCGACGAAGGTAACTGAAATGAAGACTTAAAGAGGCTGTGTCACAATATTTAGTATTATCATTCGAAGCAAATTTTTCTTTCTTTTCATTGGCCGAGAACCCATCACGTGACCTGCAAATAACTGCCTACAAATAATGGTCTGCTCATGCGCAATGCCGTCCAACAGCGTTTGGCTGCAAATATTCTGCTCATGCGTAAAGGAAACCGTGCTTTTCTCCTTCTTGAGATCGCTCTTGAGATCGCTTCGCTTCCCAAGAATATTCATTGAAAAAACAAACTCGGTGATCGAATGATAAAACAATTGTTGAACTCGGTTGTCGCAAAATATCGTGATTTGTCAGTGTCTCGCAGATCAATTATTTGCCTCAGCCTTCGGCTTCGGCAAATAATTGATCTCCTCGCTACAGACAAATCACGATATTTTTTTCTCAACCTCGTCCAATAATTGTTAATTGTCGGGATCATTCTGTTAATAATGTCAATTACATGTACATGTCCATATTTGCTATGAACTTACTCTTTAATCACAGCTTTCTGTCAACAAATATGTCTCCCAAGCATCAAATGCTACAGACCACAAAAATGAAATTTGGAAAACTGCTGGGCTGGCAAATTTCCAAAGGAACAAATGCCATCGTTTTCAAATTCTTCATTAAAAGTCTGTCCATCTGTTCCTCATCTTAACAAAAACAACAATCTTTATTTGTACTCACTCTTGCTCTTTGCTTTGTTACTTAAACGTCCCGTTCATGTTTTGAGCAGATATGTTTTTTTTTGTTTCACTGAGATGGTGGTGGTTCCCACTGCTGAAATTTTGATAAATTTCGTGACACAGCTCCTTAAACTTCCTAAGTACTAGTTATTCATCAGTACCAGAGCAGCTTACCTCGTGTTACTTTCTCTATTCTCCATTAAAATCTTCAGTCTTGGATAGCCTTAGCACAATCAAACACTCCAACTTTCAAAAAAAAACTTGCGCATTACGAGGTTTTTGTCTCAGATTGTGTAAGAAAAGGGTCGCTTTACAATGGAAGCGATCGAATACTGAAGGTCGATAAGTCGTTCCACGCTCCTAGAGCCTAAAGAGGCTGGCAAGTTTGAAACCAATGTGTAGCCGTTGCGATCACTTTCAAAATGGACGCCAAAAAGAACGACGGCAATGAGCATGAGAAAAAGAAAAGTCCGCTGACCAGCATGCCACTCTTTTCTAGGCCCCATTTTCTTTTGTTTTCTCAGTCTGTAAAAGGGGTTGGCTCATTCTTTTTTACACCAGCACTCATCGAGATCAATCTTGCAAATATCGGCAGCTGTTAGTATTCTCTGCGATTTTTATCACTTAGAATCGAAAGCAATGGCAATCTCGCACACCTCACAGTCGTTACATGTAATGTAACGAGCGCGAGTAATAGAGAACCGAGTAATGGCGCGATCTCAAAAGTAAGTTTACCTTTATTCACCTTGATTGTTTGCAAAGGCAAAATTTCTGAAACAATGATCATGCGATCAAAGGAAAAGGAAAAAATACGAGAAGAATACCAGAAACGTAACGGAAACAAGAAAGAACGGAAATGTGATAACAGAAATGTGTGGCGGAAACATGATCGCTCGTTTCCGACGCGGAAACATGACGGAAACGCATCCTGTTCATGCCTTGGTGAAAATCTTTCGAGGATCTTTTAGGATCTTTAAAGTAAAAAGTAGTAAAAAGTACCTCAAAAATTAACACTTGACCGGGAATCTAATCCTTATCTTTGCGATTGATCGGATGCAATTCTAATGGTGGAAATGACATGAATGGAAATAATTATATGAAATGACAACATCATATTTTGAACGCTGTGGCTTTATGGCCGGTAACCGGTCAATGTTTTCAAAACACTGAATGACGGGCAATCCTATATATTCTCAGTAAATTTCACAAATCGAACAAACCAGCTAATCTAAACTATCATATGTCGATTAAGAAAGTCAAGCGATCAAGAATTCAAGTGTGAGCGTTTGCCTTACGCTGGGCCCAGAAAACAAAACCATGCTTTGTGACACTTAGAACTTTTTTCAGGCCGACTGCCGCGCAGTCCGGTATTTTCCTTCCGCTGCATGAGAGGCTTAGGCCTGTTCAGGAATTCACAGCAGGAATTTGCTCAAGGAGTTAAAATCCCGCGGCCATTTGCCTTCCTTGCGGGTAGGCATATGGCCATCTGCGGTAAGATAGTTGATTACATATCCAGTCACAAGCAATTTAATGTTGCGTCTGCTATTTCCAATTTTAAAAAAAATTCTCTCTAAAAATATTTCTCCGTTTGGAAGAGTTAAAACAGAATCAGAGAACATTTGGATCTGTTGACGACGACTTTATAAAAAGCAATAGAATAGCAGCAATACAATATTCGGAAATATTAACGGGAAAAATGAAGTAATCTCGCTCTACTGCGCGCTCAAATGCAATGGCGCTCAAGACGAATTTTTTCTCGTTTAATTTTTGCTTGTGCACATGCTGGCTATCTGGTGATCTTCACTGAAACAGGTAAATAATTACTATCACGGCCGCAAGGTGAGTAAATACAAATCTTTACATGAAGAAAACCTTTTAACTATAAATGCGAGCGGACTGTTATGTTGAAGACGTGGCGCTATAAAGATGCTAATCGAGCTTGATCTTAATGTTCGCTGAAGCTTAGAAGTGGTTATGAGGACCAGCTCAGTCGCTAATGAAACTGTTCAACATTATGGCGTTACTCATAGGCACTCAGTTGCGTTTCTTTTGACTTGCTTAAAGTTTCGTAAAGGCATTATTGACTATTTCTTTAAAACACGAAACTCGTGACGCTTTATTCTTCCAGACCTGCGCTATAATATTTCACACAAAGACAATGAGTGTATTTCGCAAAAGCCACGCTCGTGCGGGCGCATTTGCGTTACCCATCGCTTCGCCATAAAACCACCCACAACAAGTAATATTAAAAACGGTTTTCAATCTTTCAAATTTTCAATCTTTTTCATCATAACGGACAAGTTGTTACCACCAATAACTGGCCGATAAAATTTGTTGAAGTGTGCGTTTTGGGAAATCTACGAATGACACTCAACAAAGGATATTCGGGTGTATTCGAGCTGAATATTTCAGTATACTTCACGTGAGGTGTGCGCCTTGAATACCTCAGGATTTTAGGGATTCATGAAAACGTATTCTAGGCTCGAATATCTCCGAATATTTTCATTTTCATGCAGTGAAAGGGGTTGATTTATACATCTAAACTGAGCTCATAGTATAGTTGAGTGAACGTGCAGCAAATAATGTTTTACCAAGTTTACAACATTAGGTGCAGCCGACTGTTCTATAGTCTTGAAAAGCATTGCAACCTGCTGTAGTGAACCTCTAAGATCTAGATCTATTCCAAAAAAATCTCTGAAGTTTTGATCGACTTCTTTGAGAATATCGAGGCTACTAAAACCTCAGCGATGTTTACAAGCTATAAAGTTAGATATCGTAATGTACTTTGTTTTTTCAAGAGTTATTTATCAGTTTCTAAATTTGTCTTTTCTACTCTGGCTCAGGCAGAGGGGTTCCTCCCCCCACCAAAAGTTATTGTCATTCTATGTATTCTGCCGGGTTTCAGAGTTTTTTTTTCCCGCGTGCGGCGGGAATCTTCGGTGTCGGCTGGGAGCTAGCCTGCGAAGCAGGCGCTTGGAGGTTATGGGCGCAGGAAAGAACGGGGGCGCGCGAGGGAGACACGCGAGGGGAGAGGGAGCGCCTGCCCGAGAGGTCCATGAAAATCGTTTCCAGCCCCCTATTCTAACTACCTGGCCAGTGCTGCCTGATCTGTCAAAAATTTTGAAAGAAAACGACTGACCTCGCACAAACAAAGCGTGTTAAAGCGTTGTACATTTAGGTGGGAAAATGTTTAGGAAAGCTTTTAGTATCTTAGAATTCGAAGAAAGGAAAGATAGGCGGGTAGTGAAACAAGATTTTCATGGAAATTGTCAGGTCAATGTTATATTTTCTTTTTTTGCCTTTTTCTCCGGTTGTGCTCATTCTGGTATGGTATGAAAGCTCTTCACCCTGCAAAAGTTAACGGACAAAGTTGGTAGAAGGGACGTGGATCCGCACGGGCGGTTACGGGCGGCTTTGGGGCGAATGGGCTAAAGAATGCATACTGTGTATTATAAAAAGCTAAATATTGTTCTCGGATATAACAAAATCACAACTGACACAACGATTTTCATGGACCTCTTCGGCAGGCGCTCGCTCTCCTCTCGCGTGTCTCTCTCGCGCGCCCCGTTCTTTCCTGCGACCATCACTTCCCCATCACTTTTCAAAGGTCTTTCCCTATTTAGATTATCGGCTTAAATTTAAGCTCATCCCACGGTACGCGATAATAAGTCGCAGAAGGTGGAAAAGGTCAGTATTTTTAATCCTGCAAATCTAATCTCTTTGTCGCCATCAAAGTGGGATCAACATGATATTTTGCTGTTGAGTACTGTATATACACATGCATAGAGGTATTCAATATTACTTCAACTCAAACAATCACTTTTGTTTAATGGACATCGGTACCTTTATATGCTACAACGCAAGCCGGGACGTTTAGAGTTGCTTCAAAAAGTATACGCGACCACGCCTTTAACAGTTTTATTATTTAAGTCCGTGCTTCTTTGAAGATTTGCAATAAGTGTTTGTGTTTGTACAGTAAGACAAATTAGATTGTGGATTTATGTCCATGCTTTGCAACTCATTGTTATACATTGTTTATTGTAAACCACATAAGGAATATAACCTGACGTCTATGGTTAAACCAAAAATATTAGAGTGCTTGTGAATTATAATAAATACTACTCAATTAACATTTTCTTTTGTCCTCCGATTTACAAAATTTACAAAAAAAGCATCCCATGACCAAGTATAAGAAAGTATGAAGATCCTCAGCACCTTCTAAAATATTAATACAGAAGCGCCAATGGTCAGTTTCTTCAGAATCAAGTGCTTGAACATTTACTTCTACTGCATGACACGTCGTTTCATTTGTACAAACGCCTACAATCGCTTATTAAATTTTCTTAACGAGGTGCGTTTGACATGCACCAGAGATTTGTAATAACTGGTGAGCAATTTGGAGTGAACATAAGCGGAAGAGAGCTATTAAGTTAGGCTGTTATAGTAAGGCTTCTTTCTGATCACTTTTTACTTCTATCAGAAACACTCAGAAGAGTTATAAGTATAGTTATTAGCTTCCAGTTACTTTCTGCGTTGTGCTTCTGTGTTCCTCGAGATACTTTCACCTCGAATTTATTTCGAGGACGAAGTCGTTTGATAGCTTAGCGTCTGGCAACCCATTTTGAAATTTGCTTAACTTTGGGTTTGGTCAAGGAATTAACCAGATTAAACTGGATCATTCTGCCTCTCACGGTCCCTCTCCCTATCGCCGAAACAACGCCAACAACGACGTTTTCATCACCACGAGGAGTGCCCACGTAAACACCAGAGCCTGAGATGCCTTTGAATCCATCACAGCGGTTAAAGATCATGTCATTAGATTTTCCCTTCACGCGGCATCTCGTGAACCACAACGAATTGTACGCCTTGTCGCCATGGAAACCAGAAAACTGAATTCTTGATCCAGGGAGAAGGCTGCTGCTGCTGACTGACATGGGCTGCCTGTTATGTCTCCGAATAAGCTTCAAAACTGCAAAATCGTATCTAAGTCTGTCCTTTTGTGGGGGCTGCTCTTTCCATTTCCTGGGAATGTACTTCCTTTGCACGCGAATCCAGTGAAACCTTCCCGAGTGCTGAAGAAAACCTGCGAAGTGAATAAGACGATCAGGACTTAAAAGAAGCTTTGGTGACAATAGTTTAACCAACAGATTTTGCCGTTTCAAGATGCTGGACATTAGACTTGGGGGTTAAATCATATAAACGCTTAAGCCATCCTGAGAACATTTAAATAAAAGGAAATAGAGAAGACGGCACCGGATAAAAGAGAATTGAGTTGGGTGCGAGAACTAATTATCTATTTTGCTTGAGCCTTACTCTTGCTTTATGTCTTCAAACTGTGATTTTCAAATTCAGAAGTACTTCTTCCTAAAGTTCCACAGCGGGTAACTGGCCAATGCAGACAAAATGGACTAAACCGCCGTGACGCAGTCCTTTAATTCAACGGCAACGGTAGAATTAAGGAAACCTTTACATATAGGCCGCAGGGACATTCACTCGGTTATGGTATCTTACCCTTGAATACCGCTTACATGTAAACTACACTTTAGAAGTGAAGGACTAAAGGAAGGATTTATAAGCTCAATTTCGAACCTCGTTTAGACCGTGAAAACTTCGCGCCTGAAACATTTCTTATATAGTGGGTATTTATTTCCATGAGAGACAAATGGCCTCCAAATAAACATGGGTAAAATTATACTCTTGGCACTGAAGTAGAAAAACAATATTTAGTATTTAAGTAGATTTTATCGAATTTTTCAATTAACACTAATATACCGCTGTGTGAAGTCAATACTCTTTGTAAAACTGGAATGATTTATCTGATTAGCGCTTTCTATTTTGCTGACTTTCAAAATAAGATCGAACTGGTGTAAGATTTAAGGCAAAATTTTAATAATAATATGTTTTTCCCCAGCCCTGGAGAACACCATCGAGCGCCGCGTCAAGGAGGCCATTGCTGTCAAACAATGAAAACCCCCTCTGAATAGGGACGAGGGAATGGACCTACCAGCCATTTACAACCCTCTCTTAGCTTCTCTTGGGGATACGTGAACAACCTTTCTTTTACGTAACATACTATTTCACATCGCTGAATGAAGTTCGAGCGATGGTGAACGAAATATTCGTTTTAGTCTAAAATTTTTTTCTGGGTCTTGAAATTTCTATACTAAGTTAGGCAGAATTGTCTTTTAGCCTAACACGAAATTAAATTATTTCACGCGAATGGAACCTGCTGTATCTTTGCCTCATGTCAAACATGTTTCCAAACTTTTTAGTAACATTAAAAGACATCATTTGGTTATTAAAATTTAGAAGATATGTTCTTTTCAGCCTTAAGAGCAAAAAAAATGTGTTTTTATATTGTTCTGATAACAGTAGTTCGATAAAGATAAAATAAGACATTACCTAAGTACTATTAACCACAAAACGCAAGGCGTCTTCTTGGTCCTAGATTGACTGACGCCAAAAACTAGGGAGTTTTTTAATATTATTATTTTAACGCAAATCAGGCCTAATTACCACGGTTGGAAGTAAGCTTCTTTTTAGTAATCACATCTTAAAAAAATAACACTCTTTATAGGACAATAACCTCTGTTTCACGCACGGTCGCATGGCAAGAGCCATCTCGCATTGTTCGGATACTTTGAAACGTTGAGGTTTTTGCTGACACTAGGACAATCCAACGATAACCAAAGAAAAGACCGCAAAAACCAAAACAAACAAACACAGATAGAAAAACAAGAGTAAAACCTTAGTTTCAACAAAGAGAGTGACTTTTCCAGTTTCATCAAGTGTATAATCATAGCAGTGCAATAAAGACTTTTAGGTTATTTACAATGTTATAGCACAATACATGTTTTACGCCTCCATGCACGCTTGGTTGGCAATTTGCGGGCTAGTAATTTCAACAATATTTGGTGTTACTGTTCTGCGTTATTAACGACAAATCAAAACAAACGTCGCTAAGTGTAATGTCTATATTTTCAAGCTGACAAGCTGGTAGACTGCGGGTTCCGCAATACAAAAGAAATGCAGTTTCAGTGGTCTATTTTACGAATTACGTAAATAATCAATCGCTGAAATACTGAAATGACGTAGCACTCAACAACCATATTGAAATCGATTTGGAGAAGCCCTTTCCGGCTAATAATCACTCCTTAAATTATCCCGTTACTGGAAATAATCTTGATAAATACAAAAATCAATTTCACCTTCGTTTTATTTAAGTTTGCTATCTAACCAAAATGCCTTCACAGTTACTTTTTGAAGGGGAATATGATGTAACTAATTTGTCAATCTTATGGTATCACCTCTAAATCTAATAACCGATAACAAAACAACTTCGTGGCACAATAGAAGGCACTTACCAACTTGGAGATGTTTAGCCTTCTTTAAACGCTTTTTGCCATTGTGAACGCAGTGTGCGGCTGTTAGCACGTGCTGAGGTCCAATGAGCGTTCCAGTGCATCCGGAAGAAAGCATCACGGCGGTGTAGTATGGATATATTTGTGCCTCTCGAGATGACGACAAGTTCACTCGTTCGTCCTTTCCAAATATCATTTGTACTCGCTCATTCTTTCCTAAAGTCTTCCTTCGCACTCTTCTCGCTCGGTAGAGCTTCCCTCGTTGTTGGTTGGGAACGCGATTGGCACGATTGTTCAGCGCAGAAAGTGCAGAAAGGACTCTTTTAGCAAGATCGTCAGCTGTGTCACTGTCTTCAGCAATGTTGATGACGAAGGTGTCATCATCAGTATTGTAGTCTGATGCGCCAAGACTGAAATCTCTGTTCTCGCTTGGAAAACTACTTGTTGTTGTAACCATTGAAAGGAGGATGTACACGAGGTAATGTGACAGTTCCATCACAATTAAGTCTGGGCAATCTGTAAACGGGTAGAAAAAGCACAAAATTAAACACGACAATTTAGTCCATCAACGATAAAGAATTATAAAATTATAATAAAATAAAACAACGTGCTCTCGTGTGGATAGTTGAAAAATTGAAGGGCATTAACCGGACTTCTAGTTATGGGTGTTAGAGTGTCGTATGATTATAAACTATGTCTACTCGCCTTATTCAACGTTTCCTGTTCGAAGGCCACTGCTAACTGACTTCAAATGGCCAAATCTCTGGTATTTCTGCCCACTTGGAAGCAAGGAAGAATCCGTCATTTCACTTACGCACTGACCCACTGTTCTAAATAAAGAGACGACAAAGTTAGAAATTTTTGAGCGTGGCTAAATTACCATAACAAAACGTTTTATAATTAAGTGTAATCGTTTCGTACAATGTGCTAGATATGACAATCATGTTTTACATTCCATGGCCCAAACAAGGACTAGTCACTATAAGAACATTTACCCAAAATGGCTTCCCATTCGAGCTCACTTCTTGTCATAAAAGAATTCCAAAGTCTTTAACCAGAACGTTCCAGCTGTACTTGGTTTGTGTTTATTACTTATAGGTATCTTAAGATTGATCGGTACGGCGCGTGGGGGAGCTTACTCGAAACTCCTAATATCGACAAAGAATTGTAGACTTGCTTTAACAGATATTACCTACTTGGAAAGAATAATAGAAATGGAAATGACCGTCAAATTTGGCGCTTACCTCGGGGCATGGTTAATTATTTGAACAGCCGCCAGACTTGTTTATTTTTTCCTTTATTGTCAGACAGAGCCTTGAAACAAACTCTGACAATCATGAGTGAAAGTTATTGCTAAGACAGAAGGGAAATTAAAAAGACACAAAGCCTCGCTTTTGTCACGAAAATGCGGTAAAATTTAAGCAAAACAAACAACGAAATCTGATTAAACTGTCTTTCTGGTCGTCAATCAGTTTGGTCAACAAGAAAACCTGAAAAACATGAAAACAGTCCAGAAGCCAACATATCTTAAGTGTTCAGTGACACGACAGTAGCATAACAGATCATTAAGCGAAGGTATTCCCAAAAATGAATTAACTCATGATTCCAAACTAGCTTGTTGTATTATTAGTATAAGGTATCTATGTCATGTCTGTTGGTTGAAGCAAATCAGGATGCAAAGAATGGTTCATAAACAGCACAGAAACATCAGACTAATTACGCGCCTCTTCAAAAACAATAAAAAACAAACCTTGGCGGCTTTCTACTGTAAGACATCTACCCTATACTGAGTTGTAGTAGCACGATGTTTGCTTCTCGAATGCAAACCGCGTTTAAACTGACAATAAAAAGAAAAACGGAATGAACAACCCGCGGGATCTTCGAAGGACTTGCGTCAGTCTTCAAATTTCAGCAGATATAACGGAGGCCTCGAAAAGCGTGGAAGTATTCTAGAACAACGAAAAAAAGCATTCTAGAAAAAAACATATATCCTCTTTCCAAAGAGAGTTAATATCTATTTGAAAGGCTAGTGACTTTGAAGTACTCGATTAATAATGCCCAATAGCAAATCAGAATCGCTGGTACTCCACACACAATAGTAAAATCGCCCGAAAGAAATATTTGAGTTTCTCTTCTCCTCGATGACCCCACTCGTGAACTTATAGAAGCCGCGTATGCTGAGAATTACAACCACGGCACAAATTGAAACTAAACGAATCCCGTTCTTATGTATCAAGTTTAAAATCACTTGCAGTTTGAGACCGCCGTGGCTCAAACTTTATCAATGGGCGAGCGTATTATAAAACGCATGCAATACCTGTAATACCTGTTGCTCAACCACTGAGTTTGCTACCTTCCAATTTTTTTTTTATTCTACTGCTACAACTTTAGTTTTCAAGCATCTTCATTTTGTGAAAAAAGAAAAAAAACTACCCTGTTTGGCATAAAATACTTCTAAGAGTTGACTCCTGCCGGCCCACTTTGTATCTAACCACTCTGTACTGAACTCATGACTCATTTTCCATCTTTCCCAAAGGCGATTTCGTCAGGTGGTCAGAGCTACTTTAGCCAAATAACAACATAGCATTTATTATAACGTTTGAACTACACTTCTATATTTCCTTATTTCTGGTTTGTTAGGTTGTACAATAACTTTGCTGCTAGAAACATGTACAGGCCAGGAATTCAGTATCAAATGAAAATCACAATTCAACCCCTGTCCACACTGCACATACGTCAATAACCGAGGATATCCGGGAAAGAAAAAATGTAATAGGAGAGTTTGTCCTTCTCTCTTTCTTTTTCCCTTTCTTTCCTTCTCTCTTTCTCTTTTTTTTTTTTGTTTTTTTTTTTTGTTTTTTTTTTTGGTCTACAACGTGAAAGTGAAAAAGAAAAAAAAAAGCGGCAACAATAGCAAAGGCAACAGCAACAGTGAGAGAACGAGGATATTAAGTTACAAAGAGGATCTTTCCTAATCGGATAGTAATGAGAAAGGATTATATGGTAACTAAGGCTCCGCTCATCACTGACAAGCGATGACTGCATAACAGAAGCTAACAGAAAGGCACTGTACGGATGTACTGCAGACAATTAGACTAATTATCAGTACACTTCCTCTTTGCCCAATAACTAACTTAAATCGCATTAAAAACGACATCTATTAGCGTCTACTTGTTACAGAATTTTCTCAACCAAATCTGACAAATAAAACACTCAATATGTTTTGGCGAGGAAGAGCTGATATGTGACGCCTATCATGAACTGGTCAGAGCTCATAATGGACAGCTATTTGGCACTGATTATGTTTCTATATTGCTGCAAAGAATAGAGAAATTGGCTGTTGTCTTGAGAAAGGTTTACGGCATGTTCTTGTTACCTAGATGCGTTGCGCTGATTGAAACGGAAATAAACTGAAATTAGGAAAGTAATTATTAATGAAGGAATGATCCGGAAAGTATTAAAAGATCATTAATATGATTTGACTCTGCGCCTTTTTAAATGTCTGCTGAATGTTGATGAAGAGACGTGATTTGCCTTAATTTGTTACAGACGGTTATACCCATTTCAGTGATCTTTTTTCAAGACGGAGAATTCAAATAGGTCATATTTACAAAGCCTGTAAATAAAGCTCCTAAGTTTCTTATACATTGCACATTGCACGGTTTCTCTATATTATCGCTTGAAAACAAATATGTTTTAATGTTATCTCCCTACTCCAATACTATTTGATAATATTACTGGCATCTTAGCATTTATCGGCGCTGCCCAACCAAAACGTGTTGGCAAACGAAAATACCATGAAAAAAAACTTGCCATTGCCAGTGTGGTCACATGCAAGCCAAGAGCAACACTTAAATAATATTAGACAACATATATCATGCAACTATCGACTGAAAGGATTTTATCTAGGTAATTAACGGCTATTATTTCGCTTAAGTTATCGCTGATAGGGCAAGTTTTTAAGAAAGTAACTACCAAAGAGCATCACAACTAACAATGTTCTCCACTTACCCCAGACGCGTGATAAATAGACGGCTTGAGCTTGGGAAGAAATGAGCTTAAGAATATTGGCTATTGAGAATTGTAGAACCGACCAAGTTCGCTTCTTTGATTGAAATTTAGATGATGACAGGTACTTTTAATTACTTGGTCCTTTCCTGTATCCGGCTAAACAAGACTTCAGTTGACGCGAAGGAAACAAAATTACGCAAGAAACGGCGAAGTAAATTAGCCCGCAAAGGAGCCGCTAATACGTGTATCCGGTAACCTGTTAATCCCACTTCAATCCGGACCATAAAGCAGTGCAGTCGTGACAAAACATGTATTCAAGATAACGGCATGACTACAAACAAATTCATGGGGTGACTTTTGGCCTTGTGAATAGATCGAAATTCACCTTTTATCGGGTGAGCGTAGTCGATCAAAACGCAACGATCGTTATCTGTCGTGATTATCGATGGTGAGTAAATTTGAATCATGAACAATATCAGTTATTGCTTGTTAGTTGTTCAATCTCTTGATCACGAATTCCTGGCGCATAAAAATAAGGATACACCACTATTTTTAACATGCACAATACTTTCTGCCTTTTCTCTTTTCAAACCGAAAGCACCTCAGTATCGTGCTATCCTGTATCAATTCTTCAGCCTAGGTGTTAGTACTCGATATATGAGTCTTCCTCTTTTGTATCAATGAGAAGTAAATTCAAACTCTTTTTCGAAACCGAATCCCGACCAATGATGGTCCTTGAAAGTTCCTGATGTGTGCAGGGAAACCTTAATGAAGAAGTTGAGTGATAAAAAATCTACTTCAACATGTACAAAACATTAAATATGTGTTTTCAAAATTCTTTGTGCGATTAAATTATGTTCCTCTTGACACCGAAATGCCTGCACAAGGCAGGGGACCTTAGAAGGTCAGTAAAAGGATTAGTAGTAAGTTAAAGCTTAATGGTAATGGCAGCTAGTTAATTCACAGATCGTGCAGCAGATATACTCAATTTCTAATTTCTTACAGGAGCAGCTCCGATATTAAGTTAACAATAACACAAACAATTTTAAAAGTCAGTTTGAAGAGAACAAACGAGTCTTCTGACGTAGCATTTGAAAATTTTCTGTGATCAAATTAAACGATATTACGGTGACCCAAGCATTGTGAACGTATTTTTACAGCAAAAGAGAAGCACCGAAAAATGTTTGTTATGGGGATGATAGCGACTATCGTGATGTAGTCGTTGATAGGTCATACGGATGCAAGTAACAGAAACTAAAATGCAGTCAAGTCTCCCCGGGATTTCCGATAGGAAACAAGCGAGAAAGCTTTCTTCCTCCCTCAAGCAGAAAACTGACAAAGAGCTCTGCAGAACATATTTATATGTGTCAGAGCTAACCTGAATAGGACAGGCTGAGTACGTAAAGCTTGCTTTCTAGCTGCTTATATTTAATTGACAAATTACCCTCTGTTGAGGGTCAGTTTTCATTTCTCACCACACTTATGCTAAAGCTTATGGCTTGAAACAAACAAGCAAACTAAAAGTAGGAAAGAATCAAGCCACTCCTTAACGTTCATTGTACTGTAAATATAACTATTTTTCTAACAAGTCTGTCGCATACCTTGAAAGAGGAGCCAGTCGATATAATTCGTTGGTAAAAATATCCTTACTGACTTATTTATCATCACAACAACAACGCGACAAAATACCTCACAGTTATCGATGTGCTAACAAGCACATGGATATTGATTCTAAATAAAATGTTCCTGCCTTAGCAAGACAAGATATAAACTACAGCAGGTCTTTTTTGAGAGTTTAAAAGGCAAGTTTTTGTCTATGTGGAATTGAAATTGTCTTGGCATATTACGTATCCTTGGAATCTGATGGACAGTCCTCTTTGTCCGCTGTGTCTTTTGGGAAGAAAAATAGCAGTCTCTACCGATTCAACTGGAAAATTAATTTAATTATATGCAAACTTTTAAAAACATCGCATGATTTCTTTATGAACATTTCTCCACATCAAAGGGCCAATGACTTTACGATTTCTTCTACTGGGGTGCCCAATCTTAGACTAATGTTGGCACTTGCTTCGGCGGCTATTTGCCTCTGTCAATAGTGCGTCAATCACTCCACGCTTTGATTGTCAGACTCGAAAGAGTTAGTGTTGGTTTTTAATTCCTAAACTGATTCAATCAGTTTGCTTGGATATGTCTATCAATCCAGTCTCGATACTTCTCCGTAAAAGTGTACACACCATACTTGCCAGGAAGTCCACATCCTTGTCCCCAGCTGTTAATTCCACCGACAAACCACCCTCCTCGAATATTCTGACACATAAGTGGACCGCCTCCATCTCCATAACACTTATCTCTGCCGGCTTGCTCGAACCCCGCACATATCATACCTTCTTTTACAAGGCCGCCGTAGGAACTAGCTCTGTTACAATGTTCACGGGACACAACGGGCACAGACTGCGACCTCAAAGGAGCAGAAAGGTGATGAAAGTTGGGTGTAGAGCCCCAACCAGCTACAACACAGGTGCTATCAGACTGTAAGTCACCCCGTTTAGGAAGACATATCACCTGTACTTTGTCGTTGATGACCGCTGGCCTTTCCAGGTAAACCAGGGCGATATCATTTTCGTTTGAACTAGGTAAGTAAGAGGAATGAATATATATTGTTTCAGCTCTTCTGTTTTGCTCAGAACCTTCGTTTAGCGTAAGGTCAAACTCTCCAGCGCGAACAACCCATTGAGTCGGTTGCTTAAACCTAAACAGTAATAATAAAAAATAAATAAATAAGTTGAGTTAATTTATTCAGGAGCAACTGAAATCAACACTCGAGAGTTATGTGTACATTGGATAAAACCTTGGAAAGTATTTCGGAAGAATCGTGCTTTTTTATGACAGCCACATACACAACAGGGACACATTTTGGGAATCTCTGATTTTCTGACTCCATTACAGTACTCTTTCTAGAAACAACTGAATGTACTGAGTCAGAATGCTAAATTATGCATAACAGTGCTACTAACTTCAACATGTACAACATGTATTGGAAAAAACAGAATGGTAAAGTAAGTGCAGTAATGACATCTACTGTACTTGATTTTTTTTTTTTTGTTTGTTTGTTTTTTTACAGAAAGAATAGTAGCCTTGGATTCATAGTTGGGTGTCGTTAACGCAAATCAGTCCTGTATTTACCTTGCCAAATGATAAAAAAAAGGAATTCTCCCATTTTTCATATTATTTAATACCTTTTGAAGCAGTGAGCTGCCGTGAGGACCCATTGCGGGGCAATAAGGGCGCCAGCACACTGCTGAACTGACTGCCCCATGAGTAAAAGAGCCACCTGCCAGGGCCACTGCCCGGACCATTGTTTGGACACACTTCCATCAAGCTGACTTGGAGGATTGGAATGATGTCGAGTCCCACAACCTTACAGACCAAGGCAAATTTTAAAATTAAAAATTACATTTTTATATAATACAGGTGAAATTTAATGAAAAGATATCCCAACATCGTCTCTTAATACACAATGTTACACTAACCCGCGTATATGAAACAACACTTTAATAATAACACTTTACTTGCCAGTTACATGTAAAAAGTTATTCCATGCACGGTGGGTATCTACTAAGAAGGTGGGCTATTTACGTCACACTCAAAACACAGATTGAAGTTTATGGAGACACCTATTTCAGCAGAACGATTTAGTGCTAGGTGATAAACATGTGCGAAGAAAACTACTTCATGATGAATGCGCATTTTTCATGCATTTTCAACTGGCCTACCTTTATCACGTACACCACCCGGCTGAAAATTTACAGGTCCATCGTGGTACGTCATGCCCACTTTAGTCTTTATCTCCCCAGACACCACATAACGCACCCAGAGACCATTTCCTGAGGACTGCACGGGGGAGGGCAGCTTGCTTCCGCAGTACTTCCCAATCAGTGGAGCATGTTTGGTTAGACCGTTCCTCACTTCGACGAAGTCCTTGTTACATAATGGATCACTTTTGAAGAAATCAAAAGCTGTGAATTTAAGAGTCACTGTACCCTTTTCTTTTGTTGAGGTAACGTGCCACTGACAGTCTTTTTTACTGGGTGGGTTAGATTCGCCACTCATTTCCCTACCAGTTGTTTTGCATTTGGTAACAGAACTCGATGGTTCTGTAAATGGAGAAACAGAATAGACATATTCAGACATTAAATGCTATGGTTAAATTTGGCCTCACCAAGACATCCCTTCCTAAATTACTTTAAAAGAAACATTCATACGTGTAAGAAGACTGAAAGAGAGAGCACTGAGAGTAACAGCCTTATATTACACAGTCATGCTGTATAAGCAGACAATGTTCACATTCTTGATTTGTCGCCTTTACGAACAATGTATTTAGTTATCAGAGTATAGAGAATATACATGCGTTCATTACCAGCTATCTTTTTTCCTTATGAACTGCAGCTTAAAAGGAATACTATCAAAGTAGAATAGTATACAAGCGATTGTACCTTAGACGTTTATTGCAATGTTGAACTTTTTTACCAGTTCGGTAAGTGCAGATGGTCGTAAAAAGTTTTGCCTTTGCTTGAGTGAAGTGGTGTTGTATACTGAACACGTTATCAAAATTGACATTTAACCAAGCCGTAAATCGTAATAGTCAATCATGAATTGATATAAGTGTGCACCTAGCTTTATTCACCCATGCATTTTTTACTACATCCCTTTATCCTAGGTGATTTCTGTTTATATAATACACGTTACGTGTTACTACTTTCGATGTGTAGATACACTTACCTGCCATACAACCATACAATTCTGTCCGCATGGAAACGAAGTTACGTTTCATCAAAGGCCAAAACCGGACAGCGCTCGACTTGATGGCGCTGCGCAATTTGTGGGACACTACTGAGTTTTTGTCTTTATTGCCATTAAATATCTGCAGAAATAAGAAGATTTTCTTTACAAAATAGTCCTATGTAATGTGCTACGTTTAGACTTCGTTCTAAATCACACTTACATGTAATATGGTGTATATTTTTTTCGTGGGCGTTTCACAGAACATAAAGAGATACCTGTCAATGACCTCACCAAATTGATCAAGCTTAAGGATAGTTATCTAGCAAGACGAATGTACCTATTGGTATTCATATCTAGACATGAAAGTTATGAAACTCGGCACAAGGAGCCGCTAATTGCGCCCTAATAAACCGATTATTTTTATATCATAATTATCATTGTCCCTATCATCAATATTACGTAGCATTTCATTTGAAAAGATGTACTTCAGAGTGTGCCTATGAAAATGATCTTTTTTTCTTAAACAACGCAAAACAATTAAAGGAGGGGGACGTGGGGGCTTACGGTATTGTGGTATTGAGCTTTTTTTTTGAAGCCACATTTCGGTAATTTTTATTTATAAGTGTGGTACTGCGGTATCATTTAGCCATGAGGTATGCAGCTTTTTCACCTTTTTGGCTAACGGTATTCGCGGTAAAAGAAGATCCTTCACGGTATTGCGATACTGTTCAGTTCACTCTCCTATCTAGGCAAATTCTGACAGTTACACAAATTCTGACCGTTAATCTATAATAAAATTGGTAGGGCATCGTTTTCAAGGTCTTCTCACGTTTCCTCGAAACGGCTGAGGTTGATTGCTGGTGTATAAATGCTTGAGATTAACAAGCACGCGAGATGGAGACAACTTTAAGTAAGCGTGACAAATCATGAATGCGGTATCGGTATTTGGTCGATTTTTGACAAGGTTTTTCGGTATTTGCCAATTTTTCTTACGGTATTGGGTACCCCCAATGTCCCCCTCTTAAAGATGTCACATCCAACACTATAAGGTGCGTTTCCCTGACCCCAAACAATGTTAAAACAATTGAAAGAATGACATGTCATTGTTTACTGCGACCAATTAAGAGAAACCTTATGAGCAGCTCTTACACTACTCACTAGGAGAATTTGAGGAGAGCGGGCGAGATTAGCCTGCAAGCTAGCTCTCCACTGATTTTTAAAATCTCACCTTTCACTGTTGGTTATTAATTAACGTGTGAAATTTACGGACAAAGCGCCGACACAAACATGGTTTTTACATTTTAGAACAACTTCCATCTCACTTTACTCCGCATCAGATTCAAGAACAGAACAGGTGAGTTTCTATCTCTCATTTAATTTCCATGTGCAGTTTGAATAAGAGTGTAGGTTCCCTATGATTTATTTTAAGCCGGAAGTCCAATGAATGCTGGCTACATATAGTCGTGTCGTACATACCTAATAGCAACCTATAGATTAGGATTGGGGACTCTTTGGTCGCCAGTAAAAAACCAAAGAGAATGAATAACAGAACAATAGACCTTTTTACGTCGGCCATATTGAATTAATTTGATTTACGGGGTATTATGGGATGCCCAGGGGGCATAAGCACGATCCGTTATACTCGCTTAGTATTAGAAGTATGGTCTTTCACTGTATATTTCGAGTATTTCACTGTATATTTCTCGGGAAAAAGGCGATCATTATTACATCCAAACACGGCGCAACGATCTTTTTTCCCATTACAATCTTATTCTAGGAAAACTTTAAGAAAAAATGCGCCGAAAGGTGTGTGTAAATACTAAGCGAATACATATGAATGTGCTCTTACCCTCTGGGCATCCCGTAATACTCCTTAAATCTAAGTAATTCAATATGGCCGCCGTATCGATAAAAAGGTCTATTGTGAAGAGAAACCTATGACTTAAGATCACCTTGGTGTTCCAGTGGACAGCTAAGCTCCTAGACCGGCGAGGAACAGAATAATTGTACCAAATTCCCTCATCATTCTCCCAAGTGATTCGGTATTTTTTGACCCACTGATTGATATGTCCTCCAAAGCCCTGCGTGGCTATGCGCGTGATGATATAGGGATTCTTCAGATTAACCTGAAGCCAAGGAGACCTGTCTTCTACATGAGCAGTCCAACCCTGAGGCCAGCGATTCAAGTTGAGCCTTGCTCTTTGTGCACCAAACTGCTCTTTGTCGTTATCCCAAGCGGAGGATGCCGTTAATTGTTCGTCTTTTATATTTCGGTTTTCTAATCCTAGTGGTTCCTGGCAATCCTCTACAAAAATATATAATAAGTAAAATTTTATATGTAATTGCTGTTTAACCCCTATGGTGCTAATTCAACCCTGCAGGTCAAAGTCTGATTCAGCCTCTCCTGGGGCCATTTGAGAATACTTAAAATCAAAATAGCCCCATCAAAAGCCATTCACAGCCCACACTGGGACTCATTTCGGCCCGTGGGTCCAAATCAACGCTTGGTTATTGGACTGTCTTGGCCCTGATTAAGGGAGCCAAATTAGACCCTAACAAGAAGAACTATATTTTACTCACCGAAACAGCCCTTTTTAAGGGCTAAAACAGATCTTTCCGATTATATAGATGCGGTGTCAAGCTAAATGCAATAAAATTCCCGATTACATTTATACCGTTGCAATCGATGTAAATCTGCAATTGAAGGCTTTGAAAAAAATAAATTTTTACCGCATTGGTAAGAGCGCAACAAAAGAAAGTCACACTGTGAACTTTACGTTGACGAGTAAACCAAACAATTTTAACTGGCAACGAAAATCTTGCATAGTTTATATATTACTTACGCTTTATCCTATATCAAGTGATTGAATCACACTGAAAAAAAAACAAACAAACAAACAAACAAAAAGGAAATCTTACCAAGTTTACATCCATATAATTCTATTCGAAGGCCTGTGCTCCCTTTCACCTTCTTTGGTCGTATGGTTACTTGTTTAGTGATAAAGGGCTGGTTAAGGATATGACGAACCACGGTATTATGGTCACTGTTACCTTCGAAAGCCTTCCAAACAAACAACGGCAACATCAAGTTAATATGATGTAACAGCAAGAGTTTTATTATTTGAGAAGCCTCATGTAGCGACAATGTATAAGGTAACTTAAAGAACACTGATGTAGCAATTGTAGCAACGTTTCCTTCTTGTCTACAAAAAAATACACCTACAAAGTGCAGTTTCAAATTTTTGACGTCATTTTTTTATGGTCACAATAAATATTTTTGTTTCAGACGTGCCCTGAAGCTTCAAATCATTAAAAGCAACAATTTTGATTGCCAAAAGATCACTCCTACCTTCACTTTACCATTTTCTTGATAATACACTTCACCGGCCTCGGAGTCGAGCCACAAAATATAGTAGCTTTCAACCCACTCACTGAAGACTGGATTACCATATCCTTGTGTTGCAATGCCAGTAATCACATAATCAGCATCGAGAGAGACGTTTAGCCAGGGGTTTTGATCACTCGGGTCGGCACTCCAACCTTGTGGCCATTTTTGATTGTTAAGCCGTGCATTTTGAGGGCCAAAAGTGTTCACACCCATCCATACCGAAGAGACAGAAAGTTGGCCATCCTTTATTTCTCCACTCTCAAACCCAAGGGCATCTCCACATTTTCCTGGACAGAGAACAAGAGCAGTTAGAAAAAAAGTTATCATCGTTTAATAAATTGTGGCTAAACCCACCGGGACTCATTGTTTCATTCACTTTTCTTTCATTTCGCGGCAATGACATTTGGCGCGATCTTTCTGGTCCTCAATTCTCATTGAACTACATGTAAAATTGCAGGTAATGTTAGCATCTGGAGAAAATCACAAAACGTAAGTCGCAAGATAACCGAGAGTAAACCAGCGATCTTTATATTTGACTATGAGTATGTGAAGGATGAAAACTCGTGCGACTTTGGAATCTAGTCCAGCAACAGATGAACCTCTCTACAATGGCCCCTTGGGGACAGGAGGAAGTGGCCAATTGTAGAGAGGTGGCCGTTACCGAGTAGAGAGGTTGGAACAAGAGTGAATGTATGGACCGTCCGCAAACAAGGCCGTTGCGGAGCTGGTGCCGTTAGTGAAGGTTCGACTGTATTTATGTCTCAAGAACGCCGACGCTTTCCAGCTGCTGACAGGCACAACTGTCGCGATAGTGAAACAGGGAGCTTTAGCAACGACGACGGAGACGGCAACCAGGACGTCAAAAAGGCAATAGGTCTGTTACGCAAAACAACAACTTTGCACGTGATCACGCTTTTTTTTTCTTTACCGTCCTTGCACGACTACGACGTGAAAATGCCTAATTGCAAGTTTTATGAAGGACGTAAACAAGCGACGACGAATCTCTTTTTCTCTCTCTAAACTTGACTGCGGTCCTCAAGAAATCAACTCCAAGGAAATTCGCCTACACTTGCCATTTTCAGCAAATTGGAATAAACGCGACAAAGATTGAAAAAGCGGGAATTCATTTTAAAACTGACGTTTTCGCTGCCATTACCGTCGTCGATGCTAAAGTTCCCTATTATCTAAAGCAGCCGAGCCGGGTTTGGAAAGTCGTACCCAATTCGCAATTAATCTCGTTCTCACGGTCAAATTTAAGGGTCTCCAATATTTGTATCCCCTGGTTCAAGCCCCTGTCCAGAGATCTGCCTATTAAACTCCCTGTAACAAGAATTGCCAAAACTTCAGCAATTCCTTTCGGCAGTAGGTCTAGCTGATTCTGATTGCACTTATGGGTGATATTCAACTGTCTAATGAAATAGACCTTGTTAGGTTTTCGACGTCATCGTGACGAGTTAGGCAAACGGGTGAGAAATTACAGTGTTTGTATAAGAATCTAATTATGTCGAATAATTTCCGTAAAACGGCTGTTCTGAAAACTAAAGCTACAAAAAACCAAAGGATTGCACTAAAACTTTTTGGGGGCATACCTGTGCTTAAATTTCTCTAGACGCTTGCTTTAGATTTTCCATATGTTTGTCTGTAATTTTTCCCGGGACTTTCTTACAGACAAATGTATAAAAAATTTTTAAAAAAGTGGTTCTAGGTCTTCTAGCGCATGCACCTCCCTCCCTTTTTTTCAGTAGAATCCTTAGGAGTGAAGCTTTAGTTTATAATGGATATTTTTTTCAGAACAGCCGTTCTACGGAAATTATTGGACATTAGATTCTCATACAAACACTGTAATTTCTCACGCGTTTGCCTACTCGTCAAGATGGCGTCGAAGACCGTGACAAGGTCTGTTGAAGCTTATTTACGCAGATCACCGTTAAATGCACAAGAGTAGCTTACTAGGCGGATAAGGAAGAGGTTGTTTATTGTCCAAATCGCCTGCTTTACTTCCATTAGGTTGCATGGGTTTCAGTGCTTGTGCCATTGTAGTCCAGGTGGCCTCAAAGCCCTTTCTCCCCGTTCCATCGGTGTGATATTTCAGCCACATTTTGCTTTTTTTACCAATTACCACCAGGGGCGCAGACTTGCAGAAACGCCCCAATAAAGGCGAGGATTGCGATCCTCCATCTCTCAGTTCAACATATTCGGAAGTACAGTCTTTATCACCAAGTAAATCAAATTCGTTAAAACCAAGAGCAATTGTGTTTCCCTCGTATACCGATAAAACCCACACACAGTCAGCTGGTTCGTATGAAGGCATTGGGTAAAACGGTGAAAATAGATCACTACTTGGTTTCGTTAGGTTTCCTCCGCACTCTAGGGATACAATAACAAAAATTAGTTTCATTGGGGGCTGGTATAATGCATTTTTCCCCTTTATTTAGACTGTGTGTTTATGGCAGGACAAATATCTGAGAAAGGACCTGATGACAGTGATAGAGTCTATGCTTGTCTTAATCAGTTAATGTCTTTGTTTTCTGGGAGTTCGTAAAGTTCACGTATAAAGGAATTACACCAAAAAAAATGAAGAAAAGGGAAAAAAAATCTGTTGTGTGGGAATACAGACTGAATTTTAAAGTTAAACGCCAAGAATCTGTTTCATATAAACATCTGTGAAGGAGAGCAATTGTTTATGTCACTTACATGTAACAGTGCCAAACAACACCAATCTTCAAGGGGTATTCTCGTCAACGTTTACGTAAAAAAATGCATGATAAAAAAATTAAATAAATAAAACGATAACAATACTAGCAAAATAATCGTACCCTTTATTTCGGTAGAAGGAGACTTTGACGGCGTTGTGGAAGATGTCGTGCTCGGCTCCATAGGCCTACGCTGTGCAAACCAGTAGGCTTCAAATCCTTTCTTTGTCTTAGTGGAATCTGACTTGAACAAAATCGTCATTACATTAGACCTAGATTCTATATATTCTTGAGTTGAGTTTCCACAGAATTTGCCCAGTGGAGCTGGTGAAGCTGGGGGTCCATCCATGACAAGCACAAAGTCATACTGGCAGCTCATACTGTTCTCCAGCTGGAGTTCCATAAAATCCAAGCGTATTTTATACGGTGATGGTAGCTCAATGACCCATTCGCACTGCACATTCTCAGGATAGTTTTCAGGATAACGAGGGCTTTTAATTGAACCAGACATTTGGTTTAATCTACCACCACATTCTGTGGAAGTAAGCGTTAAAAAGCATCAGTAATTAAGCTAGAGTGTATATATAGACAAATAGTCTACGAATAGATATGGCCAAGAGAGGATAAAGGGGACAGAGAAGGCATCCCTCATACACACCCTATTCCATAGGTAATTCGCCTCGAGTTATTTTTACAATCGGGATAAAATTACCTCGCACGCTGCGTGGATGTTTCGTGAAGGTTTCGCACGCCTAAACGCCGTGCAAAACATGTTGGGCGAAAGGCAATGAAAGCGCTCACCTGGGAAAAGGGAATCGCTTGACTCCTTGACAACCCGTGAAATCAGTTTAACTCGAAGTTATCGTAACCCGCCAGAGTGCTTTAATAAAATGAGAAATTTCGCCGGTCTATTAAAACCGGTCGTTTGTTCAATAAAGCAAGTAGGACGCCAAGTGTTATCTTTGCTGAATAATAAGAGACTAATAAAAGAATAAATATCAAACCAGTAATCGCTCTCTTCAAAGTGTAAATTATAAATGATCCTGAGAGAATATTCAGTGTGTTAAGGATTTCCCTGCTGTACTGTTAGCTCTATACAGAAGAAGACGGGCGATTCGTTTTTAATTTCTGTTTCGCTGACACAGTTTTAGCAGAAATCTCTCTGCAGTCGTTTTCGTCGACCAAAACGAATAGCAATATCGCTCTCCGCGTCTTCCGCCAGTTTGTTCTGCGTCAATTCGTGAAGGACGCTTGGCTCTGAGCGTGGGTCATCCACGCGGAACACATTCGCGCTATGTGATTGGCTGTTGTCTAATCCCCCTTGGGATCTGTGGTCTTAAAAATAACTCGCGACGAATTACCTAGGAATAGGATGTGTATGGGTGATGTCTTCTCTGTCCCCTTTATCCTCTCTTGATATGGCATGGGACCCCAGTAATTAAGTCGAAAAGTGAGGGGGTGGTCTATCTTTCGATGCATTAGCAGTAGCAGGTTGAAAACTTGTCAGACACATAAACTGGTACTTTCTGTCCATTTGGCCTGCAGCAAATATTCAAATGAGGTCACGTGACTCACCACCCTCAGAAAAGATTCGAACTTAAATTGGCACACTTTTTCTTGTTTCCTTAATTTTTCTATTAGTTGCATGATTTTAAAGTATCTCATTTCTGCGCTTGGCAATGTCAAGATTTTTTACAGGAAAAGAACGTACTGGGTACTAGTCGGAAAAGCGTTCATTTTCAAAATAAACGAGATATTTCAAAGTTGCCAAGCGCAGATTTGTAGAGGCTTATATTTTCTATTTCCTTTTACCAGTTACGTAAAATAACTCTTGCTGAAAAGTGTGCCCATTTTTTCTTAAAGATTTTTTGAGACTTTGTGGAGCTGTAAGGTCACGTGACCTAATTACATAATACTTGTGTGTTCTGAAGTATTATTGTTTGTGGTTTATAATAGTTTTTGGTATTTTGTGCTTCAGTGATAAACAGTTCATATTATAGACCACCTCCTTCATTTTTACGGAAAATGGCTGGTGACCCATGCCTTAATTTACTTCAGAGGCTCAGATTGTAATAAACAATAGGAAATCACTACCTTCCGTACCTGGACTGATTGGACCAGGAGGGCGGGACGGCCCATCAATGGTATGCCAGTTTAAAGCAAACCCTCGATATGCATTTAGCCCATCAGAGTAGAACTTTACGTACATGGTGCTTCCAGATGACTGCACAGGGGAAGGAATCGCGTCTCCACAGTACTTTCCAAGTAAAGGTTTTTGTTGCTCGTCGCTGTCTTTCACTTCCAGATAGTCATAGCGGCAGCTGAAATGTTTCTCGAGTTCAAACTCCTTAAATTGAAGTTTAACAGCTTTGCCGTTTGGTGCGGAAATGACCCATGTGCACTGCTTATTTAGTGGATACTCTTTGGGGTACCCTGGACTGGTTATTTGTCCACCCTCCCCACTAAGAACACCACCACACGCTGGAATGAAAGCAGAACGCGTCTTACTTGGTTTATCGTAAACATAATCGATGAACAAATCACGTTATCAATAATGGTTTTTGTGATACAGCAACTGGCAAGAATAACAGTGAGACCCCAAGGGTCGCGGTTATTTAAATGAAGTCTATAACTTAGACCGCGGTTTAGGAAATCTTTGGACCTCCAGATCTCTTCCTTGTGTTCATTATATGCTTCAATGAAACTGTTCACGTTAAATGGTGCTCCCATAAAAGTGTTTGGCAATTGAAAATGGCTTAGAACGTGGTTTTGTTAAACACTGGCTTAAAACTCCGTTTAAATAACTGGCACTAAAATTCGGCCGTCAATATGACATCATCGTTCACGTAAAATATAATGGCTTGCTGGTAAGGAGTGCCTGCAATACATAACATTTTTATCTAATATAATATATCTATTTAGGTAATTTTTATTATTATTATTATTATTATTATTACATTTAGTGGATACTTTTTCCATTGACATTAGCGTTATCGAACCGAAAACGTCGACTCATATTTGCTTTGCTGTTCTCACTCATGACACTCAGACAGGGAGTACTTTGTAAGTTATCTAAATAACCTTGAATATTAAACAAGATTTACCGTTTATCGGTGTTGGTGTTGTACTTATTTTACGGGTACTGGTTGCTTGGGTGGTGGTTGCCTGGGTAGAAGAAGCAGCTCTCGTGCTGGGTATTTGCGTTGTAGATGCTTGAATGGTAGAAGTACCGAATGGTACCCTCCTCCATGATGCCCTAAATCCTGTTTCGCTCACATTGCTATCAGACTTAAACTTTATGAACAGGGAGTTATCAGATGAGCGTATCGGCGCAATGATGCTACTTGCACAAAATCTGTTAATTAGAGAAGAAAATTCGCTGCTACCGTCTCTGACATCAACAAAGTCATAAAGACAAGCACCGGAGTTTTCCAGATTAAATTCCTCGAATTTAAGCTCTATGGTGTATCCATGAGATGTTACTATGGTCCACTCGCATTCCATGTTGCTTGGGTACGATTTAGGATAATTTGGTGTTGTAAAGAAACCACTTTCGCCTGTCATCTGGCCACCACACTCTAAAAAATCAAGAGATTCGCATTAACTCCAATTATATGTGCCATATGTGAACTTGAATATGTATCAAGTGTAGTTGGCAAAGGCAAGTGCACACTGTATACCGTATTTACGTAGCCACTGTTTAGGAGTTTGTAAACGAAACCCCTCAACAGAAGAATGTTCTTGTTCTTGGCTTTTTTATTCTCAATTATTATTAATATTATTATTATTATTTATTATCATTATTATTTTTCATTTTTCCTACGAAATCCTTGGCGAAACATATCAATGCATTTTTTTGTGATTTTGGTTCCTTGAATGGGTTCAAGTTTGTGGCTTGTCTATTGTGATCTTCTCCTTCCCAAATCTCCTAAGTTTACTACTATCTGTTTACCGTTTGTCTTTTCTACCAAACTTATATTTTTGGGCCATGCCAATTTACCCAGTGCGACGGCCAGTCGGTACTTGTTGGTTATAGTAAGGGTTAGTATTGGCGGACTATAACGTCCTGACAGTTAGATTCCCTTTGTACTATAAACAGGCAAGACTATAACATATAAAAGGTGATTAAAATCAAACCTTTTGCTGTAGTTGGAGTAGGTGAAGGCTTAGTTGTTGATATTGTACTGGTGGAAGATATTTCAATTTTCTCAGTTTTCCAGACTGCTTTAAAGCCTTGGGCGGTAGTTGAGGAATCTGAGCGAAAATCAATCCACAGATGATTGCTGGTAGATGTTATAGTGGCTGGTCTGTCTTCGCCGCAAAACTTTCCTACCATTGGGCTCTTGGAAGACGATCCATCCCGTATAATAACGTAATCATACTGGCAAAACAAGTGGTCTTCAAGGGAGAACGTCTCGAACGAAAGTACTACCTTCTCCCCTGGTTGTAGTCTGATGATCCATGAGCAAACTTTATCCACGGGGTAGTCAAGAGGATAACGTGGTGTCTGGATGCTTCCACTTTCTCCTTCCATCAGCCCACCGCAATCATCTGTAATTACGAGCAAAAACAGATTGATGTGACTTTCAGTAAAAGCAACTCACTTTGACTATAAAGATGACCACCGTACAGGTTGTCGAAACGTCAGTCACTGCTACAACAGCTAGTGCTATTCATGCTCCACCTACTTATGATTTAATTTGACTGCAGGGATGAAACCGTTCACAAATGCAATGCTATTGGTATGCACTGCGTTTACCTTTACTGCATATACAGTAGTAAAGTTACTAATAACTGAGCGTCGAAAGTAACTAGGAAATGTTTGATTAGTTGACTACTCTTTGAAATTGTATTTCACTCTGCAAAATCGACAAACATCAATAAACAACTTCTACTTCTTCAAAACAAAATAAAACCAGGACCAGCTGACAACCGAAGGTTGAACTGAGTGGTTTTTGGTTTGGTGTGAAGAGGACATACAAGCACCTTTTGTTGTTGGCTTTGCTATTTCAATTGCTTTGCCTGCTCAGTGCCTCTATGTTTAAGGTTACCAGTTTGTTACCGGATACCTTCAGGGGTGTCTCAAGAGAAGGTGATGTAGTGGCCATTAAAGCTGATTGAACTGGGTATCTTAATAAATTAATTAAAAGAAATATCTAGCACTTTCCTTTCTTCTTTTTTTTTTTTATCTAGTACTGTCAACAATAGGCTGCCAACACAGAAAGAATGAGAAAATTTTCTACTTCCAGAAAAAAAGGATATCTCTCAAAAAAGAACAAGCCCCATATACTTAACAAATGTTTCTCTTAGCAAGCATGGAAACGAATTTAGAAAATGCCTCCTTAACGTATAAGATTGTACCAAAAGCTTGCTCAAAGTGTTGCTCATGTGCAAATTTGAATGTGCATAGTCTTATTTCGCTTAATCAATGGTATTATGAGCGTCATTAGTCCAGTTAGTCCTAGTATTGATTATGCTCCATGATTCAAATCAGCAAACGAAAGTATCATTTTCTTTCGAATAATTCATTCATAGAAGGGTTTTGATTAAGCCCTGGCAGCTCGTAGGCGAATACCCGCAAGTCCCAGTACGGTGAAAGAAAAATGGATAAACTTTGAGAGAAAACTATGTTAACTTCTATTCCAGGGAAATTGCCTTAAGATGTCTGTCAGTTAATCATCCACCAAATAAAAAAGGCTCTTTCCAAGCCATGTACTATCAAGTGCCAACATATGTCTCACTCTGAACAAGTCTTATAAAACTAATTTAGAGCACTTGTTGTACCGACAGATGCTGGCTAGACAACTTATATTGCATATTTAACCAATCCCAATCTTTCAAACATGGTATAAGGTAGAGACGTGCTATAACGATATGAAATCGACGAAAAACTACGTCGTAAACAAATTGTTGTTGTTGTTGTTTTACACTGATCACGTTACACGTTTTACACCTGTTCGTTTGAACTAAAAGTTGTTATGTAACTATTTTTTTTTTTTATTATTGCTTTCTGGTAGGGTATGCAAAGAATATGAAAACCGCCCGTAATTTAAAAAATGTTTTTCTAACAAAAAAAGGAATTACTAGTGGATTTTTAGCAGCAAAAATAAAAGATACGAGAAATGAAAAAGCTAAATCAAGTACATCAAGTACAATATAAGAAAAGCTTCGTGAAGCTACAACAATTATTTTTCCAGCACTATTCGACCAATGACAGTTGAGAAAGGGGATGTTTGCGATAACAGATTATGGCAGTATAAGGAAAATGTAAATTTAATCGATTTAAGGTTATGTACCAAGCAGATTTTTAATTTCCTTTGGCTACAGTATTAAGCAGTTTTGGAAAAATTATATTGTCAAGAGTTATATAACGTGCTTATGGGGGGGCTCTTATTACCTCTTTGGGAATATGGAATTTAAACCGCTCTCTTGTTCGAACTTGATAATTCACCGTAAACAACATTTGTGTCTTTATCTTGTGCCTTTGCTGAGATACGTTCACACTTAAAATTGTATTTTCGTTACCCGTTTAGGGAAGAGAGAAAAAGTACGTTGCCTTTTATCACACTATCCTGGGTAAGGCGGTTTAACGTAGCAATTTTTCCAAAACAGATTTTAGAGGTAATTAACTATTAATATTGATACAGCATGCGTAAAACTTTGTTAAGTGAGAAAGAAAGTTGGCCACACACGACGAAATGGATTTTAAAGAGAAATTATTTTAAGTACGTTATTAACAGACTAAAGATGATATGTATAACCGTATACTTTATCGGTGGAAACGGCTTGATCACATTTTTGGAATGTTTTAGAGTATCGCCATGACGTGAGTTTGTTTAAGAATTCGGAATTCTTATGATTATCTCGTTTCAAAATTCTGCGGCCACCAACGTTAAAAGAAAATTAAAGAGTTTTTTTCACCAGTCTCAAAAAATCCGTATTAATGCTAACAAAGCACGTGAATCAGATAAAAGCTCGTGTCAATTAGTCAGTCAGTCAGTCAGTCAATATTATCAAGCCTTTGTATCACGCCTTCGCTAATGTGTGACAGCAATCTTATCAACATAGACATTTTCTGTAGACATCCTTGTTCAATTTACAGCTACAGGAATACTGCGCCGCCATAAATATTCTTTGATGAAAATACAAAATACTGAAAATGAAGTAGGTCCATAATCTGAAGTGGCTCAAATGCTAAAAATTTTGTATTAGTTCATGACTTACCAACAAGCTGGGCTTTGAGACCTGATAAAAAATCAGCGATAAAATAAGTTAATAACAACTTTGGACGACTTTTAAATGCCGCACAAGTGACTAACTGCGGTCTATAAAATCTCATCTTTTATTGATTAGGCATGATGTGAATTGGAGCAATTTTTTACCACTCATGAAATGACGGTGAGCGGAGAGCAGTTTATATAATATAATTTATTGACAAGTTAATCAAGCTCATCAATTCCAATAAGTGCATATAAAAGCCCTCAAGAGGAGTCGATCGATAAAAGCTTTGTAGGAGATGTTAACTGTCTGCTATATATGGCACCGTACTTAAGACAAACAACATGGTAAATGAATAGACAAGTTGAATCAGTCTGAGAGTATAAGGTTCTAATTTTGGTTATCAAACTCACGAACTTGAGAAAAGAAAAACAAGGGATTATTCTGGTCACGGAACAGTCACTAACGAGGTGTGTAACTCGTGGCACCGTATGAATAAAAAGCAGTCTTTTAACTCAATTGATGTTAATGTGATAAATCCACAGTAAACTAACATCAGTTACTTCAAGAATAGCTCACCTGGTATGTTCATAGCCAGGACTAAGTGGATAAGCAGCAACACAAGGCAAACTTTTCGCTCCATGTCTTGAAAAATGTCATTGGATTTTACAATGACCGAAGGAATGTCAGGAGTGAGTCCGTCTGTGTTTAGTGCTTCGATGTTGCGAAATTAATGCAGATGCGCACTGAGGCAAGGATTTTATAAAAAGAAGCTTACGGTCTTTCTTGTGTTCTCACATATATTAATCAGGCGGACAGTTTGAATGACCTACTGACACGAAAGCTGCGTGCAGCCAATCAGAACACTAGGAATATAAAAGCGGTTTCTAGAAGTAACAAACTGTAAAGGATGGGAGTCGACACGATTTACATATAAAATCATTATTTACATCGGAACGGGTCCGGAACAGTGAATTCTAAAGACAACTTGAAGTCTTTATGTAAATGCCAATCTGCGGACGGATCTTGGTCATTTCGGGCCCTTAGTTCTTGACTTACAATATCATCAAGAAGGTTTCTTGTTGGACGAACTAACTGGAACTGGAACTTAACGTTTGACTGGAAGTATTGGGATTAATAGGTCAAAAAACCATTCTGTGGTAGCAAAACTGAATAGCACTTTCAACTTTGGGAAAAGAGAAGGAGTAGATTTTGAAAAACAATAAGGGCGCGGCAGAGGGTTGTTTGTTTTTCTTCCTGTGCCTTAGGCCAGCCTATGTGTATACTTAAGAAACCGCCTTTTAAAAGGATGAAAGGTGACTGTAGATTATACAAGATTTCGAATAAGTTTATTTGTTTGTTATAAACTTCCCACGATACTCTCATCTTTTTATGCTTACAGTGGCGAATGTTTTTTTTCCAAAAATACTCTAACACTAGTAGTTAGAGATTGTTGAACGTTTACAAATCTCTGCTTCCGCACTTAATAGGTCTTTAACTTGATGAAGTAAGAGTAATTTTGATGTAGGCAAAAACATGCACACTTTGCGGAGGTGACAGCTTAACAGCTGGTCCGGCTAATATATACTTGCAGTGAGCCGTGCTCATGGCTTTACACGCTTCTCTTTTGGAAAATATGGTTTGAGACGACTGTAAGCCTATTATAGTTCGAATACTAAGATTCAATTGGATTTGTCCACGACACGTAACGTCAGCTTTGATCATTCTTTAAATACTTTGCTCTATAAACATAAGGCGTTTTCTGTAAACGAAAGATTTGGAGGGCGGGATTCATTTCTACTTGAGCACGTAGCAGGATACATTTGCCATCTCGAATAGTTAGACTTACTAAAGTTACGCTTAACTTCGCTTTAACAAGCATTGAATGAATTAAAACTTGAGCTAATCTTCCCGTCTAAAATTTACTGAGCAAAAGCAACTAAATTTCCGTTCCCACGAAATTCTCGCTTTCGGGTGGATTTCATCAAGAATAGGTTGCAGCTGTATTATCAATAAGTGCTGTGGGTTCCGGTTGTAAGTGTTCATAGTTGCTTTGTCTGCCTGTAATGAAACTAATACCTTGCGTTAGAGACCAAGCGCACAGTTTGCTTATATTTTTTAGTTTTTTATTTGTTTTGTTATGTTTTTTTATTCCATTTTTATCAGGGATTTAACAAGAATCTGGCATGTTCTAGTGTCACTAAAAGCTGCCAAATGATCCAAAAATGAAGCTCTTTATAGGTTTATTGCAATTGGAGACCTCTGTCCTTAACTCATGATCACTGGGCATAGGACTCAAATTCAAACAAATCGCAATGCCTTAGCCGGTTTTCTTTTTAGATAGCAAGTGTGACCTATCTTTGCCATTTTTACAATCAAAACCGGATTAAGATAAGACCACTTATGATTCGCTGAATGTTTTCTATTTTGGGGGACGAAAGGAAGCGGTATTACAAACTCGAGAGTCTCGCCGAGTTAATTAGCACGTACTCTCGCTCAAAGGTTACTGCGGATTCTATCTCGATTTCGCCAAGAAAAACTAGATGAGCTTTGTTTCTGTCAATGAATGACACAGTCATAATAATGTATAAAAACAACTGATGCATTTCCAAAGACAGAAATAAATATAATAAAATAAAATAAATAAATAAAAAAATATGAATCCGGTCTCGCACTGACATTCCACTAGGAGTATTACTACTTCAAACAAGGTTAAAACTACTGACCAAAGGATAGTGTAATTGTATGGTAACGCAGTGCCCGGCTGAAAATAAGAGGGATGGCCTCTCCTAAACTGTTTTCATCACTTCTTTGGGAGAAGTACTGAATTTTCCGAAACCGATTGTCATGATGGTGAAGTGGGAGTATTTTACTTTAATCGATCGAAGATGTACTGAAAACTGTTCATATTTTTTGCTGAAAGATAAACTAATATAGGGTGGTCCGGAAAGATTAAGCAGGAGAGTCTCCAGTGAGAAACGAAACCTGTCTTCACCATTATTAAAATATACTCGTCTTTAGCAATCGGTGTCTGGAATTACAACGTACGAAAAATCAGGAACTGGCCGCATAGTCGACCTAGCTTCCGACAAAAAATGGTTTTATCGACTGGGTTAAACGTAAATTTTTATTTTCGAGATATTTAAAAGCTGACCTTTCGAGCGCACTAGTCCTATCCTTTCGTTTTTTGTTGGAGTGAAGAGATCAAGGGATTGTGATTATCTTTGAGGAATGAATGGCGTAGCTTAAGCAAACTCATCTTCAAGCGATCAGAGAGAGGTGAAGATTTCCTATGATCTCCAACTGATCTGCTTGGCTCTAACAATGAATATTTTAAGGCCCCGGTGCAGAATCAAAAAGGCCGCCAGTCAACTAAGGAATTTAAACATCATCGTTGATACGTCATTACACATCATCAGTGAATGTGATTCAGTATGGTACCAAGACATGGCTCTCAAACGGAAAAGAAAAGTATGTAGGTGACGGTTTATTTCGCTTTAACAAATTTCACAATTCTTTACCAAGGACCTAGAATCTGGAACTGTCTTCCTGCATCTGTTACAAACTTGTCAAGCTTTTCTGTCTTTAAGAACAAAGTGCTAGAGTTTTTATTAAAGTAGTTACTAAATTAGTTTAGCCGCACTTCTTCGCAGCAATTATTTCTTATAATATTGTGATGTCGAGGTGGCCTCTCTTTATAAGCCTGGGGGTTTCTTGAGGTCTCCTCGCCTAACAACCTGCTGTATCCTGTTAAATTTGCTGGAAAAAAAAGGCTAATAAATGATGATGATGATGATGATGATGATGTGTAGAAAACCTCGTGCGTGTACAAAAGAGAATGCTCGTGGAGATGTCTTGTTTGCTTGTTTGTTTTGTTCAAAAGTAGCTTGGGTTAGAGACTGTAGAAATCTTCGTGTGTCTTCATTAAACTCTGCTTCTCAAGTAAGATAGGCAGTATTTTGATATGAACGGCGGCAAAATGAGGCACACATTAATGCACTGTTGGGAAGCAATAATGGTTAAAGAAACATGTCTGCGGCAAAAGACTTCCTGTTAAATTTGATAAGTACAAAACTAAATACGACTATCCAACAATTGCTTTAGAACCGGAAGCGGACAAGGCATAAGAAAAATGATCCTTCAATAGGCAAAAAAAATAATATTCATATTTTGTATTTTCGTTAAATAATAACTGTTACTTATGGCGAAATATATGATCATTTTTTCTTACCTTTTTAACATACGCATTCAGTAAAACCAGAAATCAAAGTCGTTTATTCAATCATTCATTTATCTAAACGACATCACTCATTAACCACATCACAAACGTTCGGCTAAACGGTCCACCGCTCAAAGAAAAAAATTACAAATTACTTCTTTCAACGCGCATAGGAAATTAAAAAATAAAGGGCGCCAAGAAGTGTTTTTCTGGGAAGATTTCAAGCTGTATTATCCTTCGTCTTCAAAATAATGCGTTAATTATGCCTTATAAATTTTGTGCTGGACAACATCCCGCGTTCATTCAGTTTCTTCGTTGCAAACTGTGAGACAATGTATACGGCATGCTTGCTACTTAACAAGACTGCAGAAATCCAGACGTCTCTTCCTGAAGGATGAATACACCAAATGCTGTTTCGAAGGACTTTGGAGACCGAGTTTAACTCGTGGAGGAGTATGAGGGTCTACAATGTCCCATACATGTGGGTTCGGGACGTCAATAGCTAACAACTTTGCCGCGTCTAGGTGACCTGTGCATGGATGTAAACTTGGTGTCAAAGTAATCATACAAGAAGTTGCTAAGCCAAGGAAAGAGCATGCTGGCCTATGTGTCTTTAATTGCGAAATACTGATTACCGACGCTCTTCAAGGCTCTGCTTTTCTAGCATTTCAGGGTGATATCAGATACTTACAGAGAGTACAGAACAGGTGCCACAGCAAATTGCTTCCGCCATCAACAGTACCTGAGCTTTCTTAGCAGGCAGATTAGAGATCGATCGGTAACAGTATACATTATTTTCTTTTGTAATTCTCCTTACCAGCATTCGTAGCAAAGTCCATTGCGTAGATTCCGTCATTATTGCAAATGCTTTTATCTCCACCTATTGGTGGGTTTCAAAAGAAAATAACGAGTTATCACTCTTTCTACATGCATGTTCTAGTTGACGTGGAAAGAAGCAGTAGATTTTTGTAACAAAATTAAGATTCTATATATATTTCCGCCCTTTTGCAGCATATAATATTTCACAACGGCTGAAAGGTTTTGCTTTTGTACTCGACTTATAATATTTTTTGATGCTCGATTTTTTAAAAATTTTTGAAAGAAAAATCAGGATTTACACCCTAACCGAAGCTGGAGTAATCAATTTTGAAGCACTTGGTACGGGAAAATTTTAACAAAATTATTGCAAGGTTTAATCTCACTGCATACCTAGAGATATCAAGTGTTGGATAAGGTCGCAGTTTCCAGATGAAGCAGCAATGCATAATGGAGTATTACCAAGCCAGTTTTTTGAATTGATGTTGCAACCTAGGGATGTTCAACGGAAAAAACATATTTAGCATCTGCAGCGACCAAATAAATAGAGTAAAAATAAGTCAACTCTCTTATTCGTCGGGGTTTTGCTTTTTATAGTAAACTTGCATTAGTATCAAAAAACACCGAGAAATATACAATTACTACCAACACCCAATGTCCTTAGGAGAGGCCGCGCATAAATGATTACCAGGTAGGCTGTTGAAATCTCCTTTTACGATATCCGAACAAATACAAATACAAAGCCACGCAGGGTCCCTGTGATAGTCATTCGACCAATATATTATTAATTTTTTTAACATATTTTTAAAAAAAAATTCACTTCTTGGCTCAGTTCTACAGAAAGCGTCAAAGTCAGTTTAATAGAGATTAGTTTAAATTTAAATAGGCCAATTCCCCAGGGCCTCTTTATCGAGACGAGCGAGGTTAACTGCTAAGCCCTTGATATGGAAGTTATTTCTCATTCCCATGTAAATAAAACTTATTTTCGCAAGAAAGGTTGTGCACTTGGCCTCATTTTGAAAGTGAGGGTTTTTGAAACTCAGAGGTGGCTTATTATGATGATTTCTGAACAATATACCTGCTTCATACAGGGAGGTAATTATACCAAGACCATTCTTGAGATTTTGCTTGGCACAGCAGAAGCTTGCAAGATGAAGAGCACCGTCTTTACAAGTGGTGTTAGAATTGATATCTGCTCCTATCAGACATAAGATTTTGTACTTATGAAGTGTCAAATATTTAACAATTAGTTCATGCGTCAGCGTGCGTATGTCGAGATATTGAGCACGCGGGAAGTTTGGAGAGCACGAAAGAGGCGTAAGAGTTGCACGAGGCGCAGCCGAGTGCAACTCTAGCCTCTTGAGTGCTCTCCAAACTTCCCAACTGCTCAATATCTCGACATACGCACAGCTGCAGCATGAACTAATTGTTTTATAACATTATCAAAGCGATCAATGCAGCAGTTAACTGAAAATTTTATTATTGAAGGGCGCGCTCAAAGCAGTACGCGTCAATGTTTACGTGAATATATCTTTTTTCCTCACAGTTAATCTTATGTTTTTATCCTGAAACTGAGAGAAAGTGTACTCTAAAATGATTGTAAAATCCATATTTAGGTGCCGGAAAACTATTAATTTACCGAAAAATTGTTATTGAGAGAAAACAACTTTGCAAAGAATGAGCTCACGCCATAGCCCGCACAGCTCGCGGAGATGACAACAACAACAACAACACTCACCTCTTTTCCTTACTATCGGTTAACAAATTCAAACGTTTCCTCTTAAATTTCTTTACAAAACACATGGTAAACGCTTCATTGTCTATTGCTGAGTTATGGATGCACTCAAGAGACTCAGGATTGCTAAGCTCACAACAACTCGAGGAATTACGAATAGTTTATTGACGTCATCAGCGTGCTCAATAGGAATATGAAGCACGCTCGCGCTATTGAATTTGATTAGGCGAATTTTCTAGCTATGTTATAATATTTTATTGTGCCCTTATACCCATGATAAGTATCAGAAGGGTTTATAGTGAGAGGCTCGATTCCCGAGCCTAGACTAATTAACAATTAGTTCATGCGTCAGCGTGCGTATGTCGAGATATTGAGCACGCGGGAAGTTTGGAGAGCACGAAAGAGGCGTAAGAGTTGCACGAGGCGCAGCCGAGTGCAACTCTAGCCTCTTGAGTGCTCTCCAAACTTCCCAAGTGCTCAATATCTCGACATACGCACAGCTGCAGCATGAACTAATTGTTTTATAACATTATCAAAGCGATCAATGCAGCAGTTAACTGAAAATTTTATTATTGAAGGGCGCGCTCAAAGCAGTACGCGTCAATGTTTACGTGAATATATCTTTTTTCCTCACAGTTAATCTTATGTTTTTATCCTGAAACTGAGAGAAAGTGTACTCTAAAATGATTGTAAAATCCATATTTAGGTGTCGGAAAACTATTAATTTCCCGAAAAATTGTTATTGAGAGAAAACAACTTTGCAAAGAATGAGCTCACGCCATAGCCCGCACAGCTCGCGGAGATGACAACAACAACAACAACACTCACCTCTTTTCCTTACTATCGGTTAACAAATTCAAACGTTTCCTCTTAAATTTCTTTACAAAACACATGGTAAACGCTTCATTGTCTATTGCTGAGTTATGGATTCACTCAGGAGACTCAGGATTGCTAAGCTCACAACAACTCGAGGAATTACGAATAGTTTATTGACGTCATCAGCGTGCTCAATAGGAATATGAAGCACGCTCGCGCTATTGAATTTGATTAGGCGAATTTTCTAGCTATGTTATAATACTCTCTTAAAAGTAACCGAGAAATGAAGGTTCCACCTTTGCCCTGCGAAGGGCTAGATTAAACGTGGCTCGAACTATCAGGAGTAAAAATAGTCCTCAATTAGTACTTTAGTGCATAAATAGATCGACACGCAAATAAAGCGCGTTCTAGTTAAGTGTAATGGGTGAATTTACTTACCTTTACTTAACATATATGTTACGAGACTGCTGTCCCCGCTTAAACAAGCACACTAAAGATTCAATGATAAAGCCAGGTTAGTTCCCGTTGATACTTTAAACCGATTGGGACACATGCAGATCTTCCTAACCCTCGGTAGTGAAGTCTTTCGTTAGCCGTTTGTTTTGCATCTTATTCAGTTTGTACTTATTTCTGGTACTATCGATTCTAAATTTTTGTGGCAAAATTGTACTAGCAGGTTAAGCCTGGAATGTAATTTTACTGTGAAAAGTAACGCTTACTCTTTAATTGCAAAATATAGCACTGAAGGTTTGATGAGCAATACACTGAAAATTTCCACTTACCAGAAACAAACTTAATCCAGACTCTGATTTTGGATGTTTGCTATTTACATCAATATTGTGCTTTTCGATAAGGGATATGATATCTCCGGTAACTCCAGGCAAATGGGCGTTCTGTAGCAAGAATGACAGTGACGATAAGGATCCTTACATAAACGTCATGGGTCATTGTTATACTTCTGCAGGTTTTAAGACACATTTTCGGGGTTCCCAGTGTGCGTGTATTTCTTTCTTTCTTCTTGTACAGACAACATTACAACTTTTGAACCCATATATCACCACTTTTCGTTTTTTTGCCATTTTTGTTTTTCGTTTAGTATATCTTACATAAGGCTGGTTTTCACTAGTCGTAACCAGAAGCGAAGACTGCGTCGTATTGTTTGTAAAAACAGTGTTGGGATTCCGCTTAAGACTCCCTCACTTACGATTTAGTGAGAATTTCGTTGTCGGGGTCTGTAACAAGTAGAAGAGGAAACTCTAAACCAATCACAAGGCGTGAAACGAGCATTTTGACTATTTTGTCCTTCAGCTTCTGCTTCCCACACTCAAGGGTAGTTTTCATCAGATTGCATATGAGGGACGGGGTCATACGCAGTTCCAATCGGAAGAAAATGGAACCATCCGATCCTGACAGGAGCCCATAACCCGGAGCGAGCAAATTCCATACTAAGCCTATGTCACGGCGGTTTTACGAACCATTTTATTTTTAGACACATTTTAGGGCACATTTTCCCGCGAAAATAGAATCTCCACCATATGTCTGACATGTCTACGAGCGCATTCGAAGGATAAGGTATCAAAAAGGAAAACTAAACGTTATTAAAAGCCAAAAAATATCATTCTTAGGTCTGTAGGTTTTGCTGACTGGTTTGTGTAATTATAAAGATGTAATTTTACTTCAACTACCAGAATGCTTCAGTTTTTTTTGTTTTCTTGTGTAAATTAAGGTTTTTGTTTTTTTAAACCTTAATGGGATTCACCGGCAAAGTTAAATAAGACAGCAAAAACTAACTGAATTATGGTAGTTCACGTTGTAGTCATAGAAGTATCGTTATGGTGAAAATGGGCTATAATCATTATGTATTCACCCGTACCTTAACCATTTTAAACAACCTGGACAAGGAGAAAGCACGTTTGACAGGCCGGACCTCCACCTTTTTAACTGAAAAAAAAGTATTTTAAAACAATTAAACTGCTCTCTATATCGTACTCACCTCTTCTTGCCTATTTCCTGTATATACTGCAGTCCCTCTCGGTCAATTCACCTCGGTGACGCACCGAGGCGAACGGGCGGGAAACTCGCATTTTCGCTTGGACCACGCGACCCGGGACGCTTTGGCCGCGCGGAATAATGAGGCCTAGGGACTAGGCAACGCCTCTTACAGGCTGTTCGCAGTTAAGTTCGCAGTATGAATTGTATGCCTTATTAAAATTTCGCGACAAATTGAAATAAAGAAATAAATAGAATGGATGGTTGAACCAAAGGACGGAAAAAATATCTAAAAATGACAACATTTTTTAGTCAAAGCACTTTCAATCTTTTCCACGAAATACTTCTTATTACATTACAACAAATTCCACATACATGTCTTTTGTAATAGCCTGAAAGTGCAGAGGGCCATTGTGGATATGAACAGAAGAGGCTTCCATTTGGTTAGTATGACAAAAGCCAGATTATTGAATAATATCTCTCCAAAGAGGTCGACTCCATTGATTCCCTGAACCACAGAGTGGCTAGTTATCTTAACTAACAATGAGTGTAGGTCAGTGGCAGAGTGGTTGCAAAGCTCAATAAAACTTTCAAGGGAAATAATGCTTCCTAACATTCTTACAAAAGCAAGATATCAGGATGTGAAGAAGGGTTGTACATGATAAACTATGAAGCCGCCGCTGAAGTCTTGTGGGTCTGAAAAATATAAGAAATTCACCTTTCATTACAAAATTTAAAGGATAAAGTGGGGTTTGCTTTAAGTGAGGGTAAAACTAGATTGCAAAAAAGAAAGCCTTAAGAGTCACGGTTACTTTCCCCATTGAGTGTCTGACAGTAGGCTTAATTGGACGATCCTTGTTTTATGGTCGCATCACAAGACGGCTGGAATACGGATAACTAGCCTAGAATAACCTATTAAATAGTATAGCGCAAGGAAAAATCTCAAAAATAGGCCGTGAGAAAGAAAAAGTCGGGGAGAAATTGTGGAGGGTGGCGAGGGAATCACTCTTATTTTCGCTGAATAGTTTTCTGCGACGTTTTCTACTGTATAAGAGAGTATCAAAAATTAGGCGCCACTTTTAGATAAAGGAGAAACAGCTTACTCGTTCTGTGAAAATTTGTTTTGACTCGAGCTCGTTATGTCAGGTTTTAGCCTTAAAGGGACCTTTTCCGTTTGGTTTTTCATATTTATCTGTTCTCTTGATCATGCGGGCCCAGTTTTAGATAGCCTGTTCCAGGTTCCGAGATAGCCGGGTCCGCCGATGCCTTTTGCGTTAGAACAGGCTAAGTTTTAAAGAAAAGTCTGAGAGATGAGCTGAAGTACACATAACTTATTAATTTTAAACAATTTCCTAGCTAGTTAAAACCATGGAAGTCAGTTCTGCAAACCGCACGGCAAGTTACAACCGTTGTCGCCAAAACTTCTAAGAGCTCCTGATACGCCGAAAAGCTGAATTGAAACTCACCTCAAATCTGAATGAGCTCTAAGTCACCTTAAACTTCAATATGTGAAAAAAGTCTCTTTTAACAAGCTTGGTAAAGCTTGTAAAGCAGAGAGAAACAAGCCCAGAAAAAATAAAAGTAGCTGTCGTTTTTTCCCGCCACAAACGCTGGTGTCTAGCCTCGTTTTTAAAAGTCTAACACAAAAGAGACTGGGGAGAGAAATATCAAACATGGCGGAGCGTACAAGTGAATGAACCGCAATTTCAAGATTTTGTGTCGAAAATTTTGCTCTAAACATGAACACCAACTCGGAAGACTCTTGTTAAACCGTGTCAGAGAGGTGCTAACTTTAAAAAAAATGGACGTAGAGCAGGAGAAAACCCCGGTAGGTGTCAGACAGCGGTTAGAGGAAAGCCTTTTTTCGGCGAACTGAGTTGTCGTCGACATTTTATACACTATCGTGATTTAGGTATACACATGTACTGTTTCACGACATCATTGCCGAGTGAAATGGAAATATTTGTTTAGTTCCATACAGGAATTACTGAACAAGAACTTCTTTGCTTTTAGTCGTCTGTTGTGGTTTTGCACATGCTCTTCTGAACTTAACAACATATAAACCTAATTAGCTGTATTTGCAATGTACTTCGTTTTGTGTCTCTTGTAGGTGGTGTTGAAGAAAAAATATGAAAAGACATAACTTATCGCATTTTGTTGCAAAGCTAGCTCGAATAAACCTTTACTCTTTCGATCTATGACTATATAAAAGCTAAACGTTTTTGTACTATTAATATTCTTTTCAGCCTGAGGATAGACAGCAGTGGAAACTTGAAAAGGACACTGAGTTAAGGCTTGAGATTCCTGAGGGAAAGGGAAAAGCAGAACTGGTGGTAAGCAATGATAAAATACTGCTTTAAGCCCTAATAGTTAATTTTTTATCTCAGGTAATTTTTTTTTCTTTGTTTTTGGGCATGGTACTGTATGCTAACGAAGTTGAAACAAAGGAAAAGATAAAAATTACCTGAGATGAAAAATTAACTACAACATCAACATGCATTTCTCCATACTGCTTTCCTTCCATTTCTTGTGGCTGTTATCACTGTTAAATGATGTGTGCACTATTTAAAGGAAAAAAATAGCTGTCTATATGACAAAAACAGCAAACCTTGAGATGTTGAAAACATCATTTAGTGCAATTAAGTACAGGATTCACTTCATCTACGCTTTTTTTTTTATCAGCCCGTGCAAGAAACTTGTAGTTGTATGAGCAAGCACTTCTTTTACCCTATAATCTAAAACTGTCATACATGTACATGTACATTGGAGAACTTACTAAGAGGAGGGTGTAAGGGTTTGTGGTGATGTGGTTTTGCATTATTTTTGGTGCGGTTTTGCGGTAATTTATATTTTAACTCGCGGTATTGCGGTTTCAAAACACTAAGCAGTTTGCGGTTATTACAACCTTTAAGTCGCGGTTTTCGGTCAAAAAAATAGTGTCTGCGGTGATATAAACACTCTTTAGAACGGTCGGCATCCAGTTGTTTTGCAAGCGCGAGCCAACTGTTTTGTTTTACAACGCATCAGGGTTCATTATATCAGCTTACAATTTAACTCTGTGGTTTGCAATTACGGCCTTTTCCGGTTAATACTTAATGTGATTAACCGTTTTGGCCAATGATGCGTCGACTTGGTGAAATTCCATGCCGGATGTTAGCTCGTACAGCCTCGTGTTCTAGTTGCTTCGATTCAACGTGCGACAATGGCAACTGAGGTCGTCGAGGTCGCAAATGAAAGCGAAGAGGACGTAATAATTAATTGCGTGGCAATCTTCTATGAAGAAGGAAAGGAAGGGGAGAATTTCAGAAGAGCTGTACGTTTTAACAATCGTCTTCTCCACTGAACGTGAACTCTTTACGAGACAAGAAGGTCACAATTCCAGGAGAAACATTTATTCCGCTGTTAGAAATATTACGAGTGTGACAATTTTAGTACATGATAATTTTATCATATCGATCATTTAGCTATTTCGAAGATAATCAAGTACCAAAGATGTCAATCAAATGATTTGTAACTTTAGATTTTTCAACAGTATTTGTATTCAATATATAGATTCTTTGCTTCACTTGAGACTAGAGCGGCTTTCGGGACGGTTATGGTTGTGACTTTTTTACTGTGACTTTTAATTAAACAATCTGAAGTGAGTGAATAGTGTTGTGGTACTACATTTCCAACACCGCGTTCCACAACTAGCACAGGGTCGTCCAAAGTAATTAGTCACCCAATGTAAGACGTACAGGATCAGTGACAGAGTTTTTCAAAGTTGAGGGAGATATCAATACTCGTTCAAGTACATGACCAGCATACTTGAAATTTGGTTAGTGGCAAATAGAGCATAATAGTGTAGTACAATATATCGCTAGCGTTATGATGGTATGTTTAACGCACAATGTTATCAGAATGTATCACAAGTCTTGCTGACGTCAGCTTTCATATTGTGGCCTACATGTACGCGCGGTTTCGGTATTCGGGAAAAAATCCGATGCAGTTTGCGGTTTTTTGGCGTATTTCTGTGCGGTTTGCCGTTTTCAGACCCCCCTTACGCCCCCCTCTACTAAAAAATAATTTACCGGATCAGGATCAGTGATCCTAGATCACTTGGATCAAGGTAGATCCAGTGAACTAATGAATCCTTGTTCAGAGTGGATTCGTCGGTTCATTTGATCTCCCATGATCCGAGTGATCCCGGATCACACTGATCCTGATCCAGATCATCTCAAAGGAACACACCCTAACCTCTTGGGGCAGAGAGTAGTACCCACAAGAAACTTAACCCACATATCCATTTTTATGGTATCAACAAAAGGACAGAAATGGTTGAGGCTTAGTGTTCCAACCGCTTTGCTGTCCCTGATCCCCTTTGAAATACTTATTATTAATGAAAGCCATTCTTTTAGATGGCACTATTGCGAAAAAATATATACATTATACTGTATTTGAAAATTGTGCCATTTGAGCTTTGCTGATCACTGATTATAGTCTTTTTTTTCTTTTTCATTTATAATAGCTTCTCCAAGGTCAGGGTGAAGTGTTTGGAACTGAACTGTTTATGAACAAGAAGTTTACTTTCAATTCTGGATCAAAGGTTGCTGTTTTCACTTGGCATGGCTGTACTGTGGAAATATCCTTTTTAAAATAACACTTGTCTTGTTTGTACAGTCCTTTTTCTTGTTTTTGTGCATACTTGTACATCTCCATCATTGTAGACATTATTTTCTGTATAATGGATGGTTTTCCTGGTTTCAAAAGTACAGGGATACAGTGTATCTATTGAATATACACTGTAGAGGCTGTTAATTACTTGACTCTGTCCTTTTGGTACCTATATTAATGACGTTTGACAATGTGAATGAATACAAAGTTACCCAAGGCTGTGCTGTAAGAAAAATTAAAGGGAGCCCAGTGCTTGGAACCTGTGAAATCGAGGGTGTCTAGCATACAGCCACGAGTTTTATGAAAAAGCTAAGATTTTCTTGTTACCTCAAAGCAAAAGTATGGCACCAGGGGTCACCAGGCACTGCTAGAGGATACTCTGTCACCTCTTTTTAGAAAACAGTGTCATTAACTCAATTGTAAAGCTACACATGTTACTTGTACAGTAGTTCCTATTGCATCAATTCTATGGAAAACTAACCTCAGTCTACAATGTATGCCATTTTCCATAACCAAGTTTAAATCACTGGTCCTCTGGAGGTGGCATATGTATCAAAGGAAACCCCAATGGTTATGTACATCAATCTTCACATGGCTCTGGAACAAATGAGGCAAAAAGCTGAACACTCTGAATCAGATATTGGCCCAAGAGTGAGTGATTATTCCATCTTTCTTGTTGTTAATACATTTACAATACACTGTACTCACTATCTGTCTTCTCATTGGCTAAGAGCCTACAGCTAATTTTGGAAATCAGCACAACCTACAGTTTAGAATAGTTATCTGCTAGATTGACTGTTATTTGTAGACTGTGTGCTGATGCATGATTTCCAATAACAATATCAATTTAGCTAGGTTCCTTGCAATATAGTGTGTTTGTCGTTATTTTCTTCAAAACAATGTATAATAAAGAATTATGCATGTAAAATTCGCTTTTTGTGATACCGTAAATAATCAAGGTCTTGGTACAGTCGTAAGTGTTATCAGCTTTAGCCTTTGGCTCAGCTAACAACACTTACCTCCTTTACCTTGATTATTCTGGATATCAAAAACCTCATCCAATAATTATTTAGTATAATTATGTACATGTATTTATTTTGTTTAGTAATAGTATGTGTCCTAATGAGTGTTTATAATCAATGAAGAGACCAAAAATTTGACTATTTCCAGGTGATGGTTGTTGGTCCTGTAGATGTTGGAAAGTCCACCCTCTGTCAGTTGCTGTTAAATTATGCCGTGAGGATGGGTAGAAGGCCTGTGTTCATAGATCTGGATGTGGGACAGGTACATGTATACACCTGTAGTGTTACTGTGTACATAATACTCCTCTGCAATCTCCTGGAACTCTTAAAACTTTTTATTTTTTTGCAAACTCCAAGGACATACACTCAACATGCACATTTTGTATGTTACAAATCAAAATTAAATTCAGGTTATTAATTTTATTATTTTAATTTTTTTTAAGCTAGGTTGATTCTCAAATTCCTTTGTCTCCATCATGTATCCCTAATTATTCATGAATCAGGGGTAGGAGACAAGAGAAATGGAGAATCAACCAAGGTTGAAGAAATTTAGGATCAATTTAGGTTTCTGAGGAAACTGCTCACCTACCCCTCCTCTAAGCCAACAGTTTGCCTCAAGTGGGAAGTACCATAAGTGATAATGTTGACTTAGGGGAGGGGTGGGTGTTCAGTTTCCCAGAAACCTAAATTGATCCGAAATTTATCCTGAATATGATTTTAACCTGTAACATATACAAAATTATAATTAGGTTAAAAGTTTTTAACCTACAATGTAGGTTGACAGGGTCTTCGTTAAGAATTCTAGTAGCAGGAGAAAGGTGTAACAATACAGGAGAATATTTTAAAAGAGACTCCACATCTAAATATAAAGTAGCCATAGGCTACCAAACGTTAATAACAGAGAATTCTGCATATTAAACAGAGAATTCTCCGATCTCCGATGCCTAATGAACACCCCAGGTTGATTATCTATTTCCTTTGTGTCCTAGTCCAAAATTATTATTCATGAATAATCGGGGCTCAAGGAGACAAAGAAAATTGGGAATCAACCTGAGTAGGTTAAATAAAAATTGCACATGTAACCTGAGATCAAATTATTTTACCTGTAATATATGCAAGTTATTTGTTTATAATGACTTGTTGCACACAGCTAATTCGTCCACACCCCATTGAGAATTTGAGGCCAGTTAAACACACTGAATAACTGCATAAAGAAGTTCTTTACACATTTGATATAATTTTGCATTCAGTGTATGTATTAGAAGTACACCCATCATGGCCAATTGATGCACCCCTTGTACAGTAAGCTACATAGTTGTTGAAAGGTACACTGTCCACCATAATAATGTACATAACAATACATTATTTTAAATTTACTGCAAACAATAATAACATGTACTTTTTTCTTTTTCTTTTTGGCAGGGCTACATAGGAATACCTGGCTCTATGGGTATGCCATAAACCTTTTGTAACTGTTTTTTATTGTTGTTGTTGTTTTTGAAATGTACAACTGAACAATGTGTTTTATCAAGAAATTTACAGGAGCTTGTCCTGTTGTGTGTAGGTCTAAATACAGTGGAACCTCGATATAATGAAGCACCAAGGGACAGGCAAAATTTGTTCACTATAACAGGGTTTCGTTATATGGAGGTGCTTTTCCATAATATTTTACTATTACTGGGGGTAAAGAAAATCATTCCTTTTACTGAGGCCTTCATTATATAGAAGTTTGTCATATCAAGGTTCCACTGTAATAAAGGATTTATTCTTCTCCTTCTTCAGGAGCTCTTCTGATTGAGAGACCTGCTGACATTGAAGAAGGTGAGGTTTTTTAAAGAATAAACTTGTACAACTGCACTGGTTTTAAATGAAGCAGTGTGTAGAAGCCCAAAGTAAACTTACTTTAATGGCCTTTATAAGTGATACTAGAGTATAAAACAAAAGATATGTATGGCTCTGAAGGTTTATGTCAGCTGTGTCATAAACTGAAAAAAAAAAAACATCATTTTCCCAGGAATCCAAAATAACAGGTAGTTTGTACTATAAATGATAAAAAAAGGCTTAATGTTTAAAATTTTAAGTGGTATTTTATAAAACTTAGTTTATTTTTACACTCACATTTTCGTTCTTGCTGCACCTTTTATTTTGTTTCAAAGGATTCCCATTGCAAGCCCCACTGGTTTTTCATTATGGACACACATCTCCAGCCAATGAAAAGCTGTATAATAAAATATCAAGCAAAATAGCTGAAGTCACTAAACAGAGATTTGAAAAGAATAAAAAAGGTAAGTCCTAGGGCTGCAATAATAATTTATTCCACTGCATCAAGATACAGTGAATGAGTCAAAGGAAGTTAATTCTTGGTCATTTGATTGGCCGCTTGTATGCAGATACCTGCACAAAAATGCAAATTTAGTTTCATAACAGAAGTAAGCAAGACCACATATGTAACAATTATTATATTGCAAAAGCCATTCATCACAATGTGTGCATTGTAATTATTTAAGACTGAGTATGGTCTGTTTGACGAATTTGTTCCTTGAGAGATCAGTCAAGCGAGGAGCTCATCATATTTCTCAACTCAAAACATTGGTCTCAAAACTGGAGATTAGTTCTTGAGACATAAGACTTGAGACTCGATTCTCAAAAGTTTCAGGAATCAACAGTTAAGTCTTAAAGATCAAGTTGCTACTGATTGTCAACTTACTGCAGTAATGTATGTTTAATCATACTATGAATTCAATGAATATAGATTATACCTCTCTGCCTATTAATACACCCTACACTGTGCTAAACTGTCAGCCTAACCACTTAGTCACAAATTTATTCATTGCTTGACATGAGTGTACATGTATGCTGTTTGGTTTATATACAGTGTGTATCATTATAAGGTTTTATTATATAGACGCGCGTGTTTTACTGGAAAATATACCACTCGTAAAATTCATAAAAAACTACATCGGGGACCCGAGTGGTTTATTTTCCATAACGATCTCACACATGAGTTTATCGATGACATAGTTTTGGTAATTTCCCTCTGTTATTTTATCGATGTCTTTTTGTCTATAATAAAAAGAACATTACACAGCGGCTTGAAGATATGAATAGTATTTTACTCACTCACTGCGCTTGTTCGTAAAATATTGTTTTGCCACTCGAAAATAAAATTCATATCTTCACGCCACCGTGTAATATTTATCCTCTATATAATTATTATTCTAATTCATTTTCATCATTATTATCTTAAGCAAGAGCAAGTGGCTGTGTTATCAATACCTGTGGTTGGGTGACTGGGACTGGTTACAGAATCCTTGTTCATGCAGCAGAGGCATTTGAAGGTGGGCTATCTGTACGAGCTACACTTAAATCTACATGTATACAGTCAATACAATATACATGTACAGTTGACTCCCAACAACTGAAATCCTCGCTAACTTGAACCTCTCGCTTGCTCGAACTAAAGTCAGTTTTCCCTGGATTTCCTTCATGTAATTTTACCCTCAGCTCAGTAACTCGAACTCTCAATACAGCTGACTAACTTGGACCTCCTGCTAACTTGTTAGTTTGAGTACATTTGTACATACATTTGGGACAACACATTTTTATTACAGTAATTTATAATTTATTTCATATATGTGTATTTAGTGTTATTAATTCCTTTCTACAGAATTGTTTTAGAGATGTTACCATAGCAGATTAGTACGTTTGTATGACAGCAACCTTAAAAAAGCAACAAAAGTGACCCTAGAATCCTACATCTGTGCTGTAATGGCACATAAATTCCCTGTACTAATGAAAAAATACCAGATAAACAGACTTAAAACGGGGTACCATTATAAGTACCATATAATTATGATACTTACATTTCCCCATCCCTTTACTTATTCATTCCCTTATTTCCAGTTATTTGCTTTGAACAACCGATAACTTGAACTCCCAAGAATAACTTTTTTTCATTTCTCAAGAATGTTCAAGTTGTCAGTGAGTCAACTGTACATGTAGCGCATAATGTTATTGACAGCCATTGTTATGTGATGGGCATTCATTGCAAAAGGAGAATATGCATTTTTAAGAACCGAATGTCTTCAGATACATGTAGAGAGGTGGAGATGATTTCCTTGCATGAGAAACTGGCATGAATTTAACTGATGAATGTATTTTTCTCACTCTTAGATCAATTTGATATATTTTTTCCATTAATAGTGAATGTCATTGTTGTCCTTGATCAAGAAAGAGTCTATAACGATCTCAAGAAACAGTTTGGTAACAAAGTCCAGGTGGTGCATTTACCCAAGTCTGGTGGGGTTAGTAGAAATTCCTCCACTTTTTAACCTTGTGCATTAAACTGCAACTGCTTTAATACAGGTTATTTTTGAAGTTCCAAACACTGGTGATGAACATCTATATTGAGTGGTTTTTGCCAGCCAATGCTAGAAACCTGAAAACAGTGATGATGATTTTGTTTTACTCAAAACAGACACTCAGTGCATGTACTTTAACAAATTAATAATACATGACTGTACTGGCGCAGGTCAACCTTGATGGGAAGTACTTGAGTTGAAATCAGTAATGTTGTGGTATGCAAATTTGAGGTCAAAATAGATTTGCCAATACACTTTACATGTACAAATGCTGGCTTCATGATAGCTGTTTTTGAATGGAAGGTGTAGCGCTGTGGGCAAAGGAAATTCAGGGACATACAGGCGTGTGGAAGGAAGCTAGGCTAGGGCAGACTTTGATGTCAAAGAATGTCCTATCAACATTTCAGAGCACATCAGAACAAAAAATATTGATGGTTAGCACTAAATAATTATGAAATTTATTTTGAAAAAGAAATTGAAGAGTGTTTGTAGATTTCAGAGAAGTCCCAAATCTTTGTCAGTAAACTGCTAAAGGAGTGTGATTGTTTTTTGTCTTGTTTTCATTATTTTGTAGGTTGTAGTGAGAAGCCAAGAAATGAGGCGGAATAGTAGGGATAACAGAGTTAGAGATTATTTTTATGGAAAGAAGTCCAATTTATATCCACATATCTTTGAAGTGAAGTTTTCAGAAATCAAGATTTTTAAGATAGGGGGTAAGTTGATTCAATGCATATACATGTACTCACCTCCCATAAAAAAAAAATGGTACCACGATATTAGTGATACATGTACTTCAGCAAGAGAGTGGTCTAAATCTTCAAGTTTAGTCCCTAAAAAAATATTAAGATTTCAATTCTATCCATAGGGGATGTAGTTACTTCATCCAGTTTGACAAGAAATTGCTATGGCAACTTGAGGTTGTCCAAAGAGTGGAATAAGGCTGTGCTCTGCTGCAGCAACACTTAGACACTCTAGTACCCCCTGGTGACTTCCTGTAGGAATGCTGGATTGTACGTGTTGAATTCCAGAAAATATCCATACTCCACCCCCAAATATGGATGCTTCGGTTTGACCACACCCCTCTTAAACCCACTCCTTACCCCTTAGAAAATTACAGCTAAGCTACTATATAAACTGATCTCAAGGTGAATTAATGAATGGGGTTTAGTATTATTTCTGGAGCAGGACTAAAACCTTTTAGAGATTGGGAACACTTTGGTGCCTTCAATATTCTGTAGAGTACAGCCTGGCTCTTCTATGCTGTTGTAGCCTACTTCTGTATAGTATTAATGCTGCTCCCAGGAGGGGATGGGGTTACTCCAGATTTCAAGTGAAAGGGATGGTTGAAGTTTTTTTTTTTTTTCTTGAGGGGGGGGTGGGGGTTTAAATTTTCGATTCCAAGATGTTTTTTGTGTGGGAAAATTTGGCAAGTAATTTTTTGGGCTATACAATCTGAAGATTCGTGGTAGTTCACCCTCACCCCTGTTCTGGCCGCGTGGTTCTGCAAATAAAGTACAACAAGTCATGTTATACATATAATGTATCATTTAATACTTTCTGGAAATTTTTAAGGATCTAAAATTCAGTGTGGGATTTTTTGGGGGTTAACGTTTGATCTAGGGATTTTTTGTTTTGTTTTGTTGGAAGCCATACAATAGGGATTTTTTTTTTTTTTTTTTTTTGGGGGGGGGGTTGATTTTTGCCATCATTCAATATTATTATCCCCATTACTTGAAATCCAGAGTACCATCCCCCCCCCTCCCCTCCCACCTAGAATGCTGATGTTGCTTTTGGTACGGTATTCACATCCTAAAGGTGCTTCTATTTCTTCTGCTTAGTTTATAAAAATAAGGTTTTGGTGGACTTCCACTGCCCACTTGCTGCCTGTATTAAAACTTACTTACATGTAAGTGTGACTTTTTGAAAATTAGCACCAGCTGTCCCAGATTCATGTCTCCCACTGGGAATGACTCCAGACCAGAATGAAACCAAGCTTGTTGCAGTGCAACCAGGTAACATGCTCACTTTTCTTTGTACAATTCTTTGTTCTTTAAACTATTCACTCCTACACTGCACATGTACATGCAGATAATGTTATAGCAAGATTATTAATTTTGTCATGCTAATTTTTTAATAATTATGTTGAATGGTACCACCATTCAATGCTTTTCTGCAGAGCTTCAACTTTATCCTTGGTTTAAATTTATTTTTCTTTGTGTTTGGGTATGGTAATGTATGATAATGAGTTTGAAACAAAGGAAAACAAAATTTAAACCAGGGATAAAATTGAACCACAACATATACATATTTTTATTACTTATTTCTTGCAAGAAGGAATTTGTTTTTGTACTGGCATTTACATAATGGCTACAAATTTGCTGGATGGATGCTGGTTGGTTTTCGATAAGCTAATCGGCTTAAAACCTTTTTTAAAGTTGCTACTGATAGGTTGATTTGGAGTTGATTACATAATGGCTAACTCATTAAGCAAATCATGACTGCATGCTGATCAGGGTTTTGTTTCAAGCCAGATGCGCGACGCAACGTCTGGTGGTTTGACATGTACAGTGTAACATCAGGTAGTTGATACAAGAATTTTTTTTTTCTTGTATCACCAAGATTTTCACTGACTGGCTGATTGGTTAATGGATAGCTAAATGCTGGGTGTTGATTGGCTTCTGGTTTGCTGTATGGGTTTCTACCAACAAACGGTTGGCTGACTTTATGCTGATTGGTCACTGGTTATATGAAACTGACAGGAGACTGGTTACAGATATAGCTGACTGGGTTGGTTTCGATTGGTACAAAAAAAAATGGTTGGCTGATTGCATATGATTATGTTTATTGATTGGTTTCTGGTTAGCTTACTGGGTGGCGATAGGGTTCTGGTTAGCCTCCCACGCAGACATTTTTAGGGGTCCGTCATGCATTTCTGCCCCACGAACGGTCGTTGGTGAGGATTGCGTGACGAGGCAACAGAACGCCTACATGGGAAGGTAGGTTCTGTGTGTGCTTACTATTTGTTGATTGGTCATTAGTTTCAGTGTATGTGTACCTTACTTGATGCTGATTGGTTACTGGTGATAAGCAGACTGGACACTGACTGATTGCCGCATTGCTAATTAAGTACCAATTGATTCTGTTTGTTTTGGCAGGACGTGACTTGAAGCACTGTGTGTTGGCTCTGAGTGCAGCTGAATCTTTGGAAGAAAATCTGGTCACAACAAACACGATAGGATTTGTTGTTGTGTAAGTTGCGAAACTTAATTTTTTTTTGTCATGGGCATTGTTTATTATGAACATGAAGTTCTACACATCATTCAGTTTACATTTATTTTAAAGAATTTTTTGTAGCCTTGCCATTGGTGTCTTTTTTTAGAGTTAATGTGTGTTCCTATTCTGTTTTAGCAATGATGTAGATTTAGATCGTCAGATGATGGTTGTTTTGTCTCCTGCTCCAAGACCACTACCAAGAAAGTTCTTTCTCCTCAGTGATGTCAAGTTTATGGATTTCAAGTGAACACAGAAGCTTGTCTCATTTCATTATACAATTAATGCATTGCGTAAATGTAAAGCTCATTATTTTCCTTGAAAATTATTGACTTGGATTACCTCAACCTTCAAACTTAAACGTACTGACTATTAATTTCTATTATTATTTTACTGTATCTTCTTGATGTACCTGGGCCATATTTGTTACAACATGTCATTGCAGATAAAATTAATATTTAATAAGTTTAACATCTTTGGTACTAGCTATAGTAAAACCCCGCAACTAAGAACTTGGATTTTTTTCCAATTTAGCCTAAACTGGTTCTTGCATAAATGGTAGTGAGCACTTGTTTAGGCTATTTAGGTTCTTAAATAGGTTCTTATTTTCTGAAGAAAAAATACAATATATTTAAGAGTATTTAGTGGTTTAACTTATTTCTCACATAAAATCTGTCCTACTTAAGAACATAACATACAGTTATTACTATTGTATCAATAACAATAATTCTTATTGCCAACGAGCAACCTCACGAAGAAGCGAGGCTTCGAGGCGGCAGCATAACGAAGCCGTGCGCGAAACTCGAAGCGATGTAATATAAGGTAGTGTAAGGTAACTTTTATGACGTAATACAGAACAGAGAATGCATTGTTTCCGAGCAAACACGTGCATAGTATAATGCATCTGTATAATGCCTGAGTGCGTTCCTTAACGGTAGCTATAGATGACGGACGCATGACATGACGTGACTAACCTGTAGCGTGCATTCTCGTAAATGACGGTAATTCAGGACATTTCTAAACAAATTGAACAGCGCGCACGTACAGGTAAAATCTTTGCTCGTTGGCACTAAGCGATAGCTATAACTAGTTGATACAATTATAATAAATGTATGTTATGTTTTGAAGTAGGACAGATTTTGTTTGAGGAATACGCTGTAATTGATTTCAAACATGGGCATTTACATTGCGGTTGGAGTGATAACGCACCTGTGTCTCCGAAGAGGATTCTTAATGTTCACTTATCTTATTTGCCCAAGAATACAGAATTGTTTTATAGATTCAGGAAAATAAGAACCTTGTTCAAATTTTAGACTAAACAGGTTCTTATAGTAGAGAGGGCTTAAAATAAATGGCAAATTTTAGCCTAACCAGGTTCTTAGTTGCAGAGTTTTACTGTATTTAAGGTAGTCAGGATTAAAAATTTATTTGTTTTATACGTTTGTCTTGTTCTCACGAAAAATACACTAAAATATACATTTTCTTATTAAGGCTTTTTATTCCATTTTTAAACACTTCAAATCCATTTTTAGTAATAGTTATCAGGTGGAAATAAAATTCATTGCATACAAAGTACTTCAGTGTGACTTTTAAAGAGAACACCGCCTAAAAGAAATTAATTATCTGTTGACAAAGTCCTATTGATATTATATTAATAAAAATCCCGTGGTTGGAATCTTATAGTTACGTCGTACAGTCTATCCAGTGAATTCACAGTCTTCAGATGAAAACTTCTTGACTCCCTACACGTGAACAAGACTCCATAGCTTTTAACTTCACTTCTTTTTTCTTTGACAATGAACCATCTGAAATAATGGTACAAAACGAAAAAGGAGGAGCTAGTTCAAGTTGGTCTTCGGGAAGGCAGGCCACCTTTTGCTGCTCTGTGGGCTTATGCAGTACGTAGTCTACATGTCGCACATCTCGATAGGACCTTCGCTACTTCTGATGAACCGTTGATCAACCAATAGCCACTTTGCTGAAGCTCGTTATGCTTTATGTCTCGACCATGTGGTCCTCTTTCAGATGATGATGTTGAATTAAAGGAACAGTATCCCGTTACTGCGCATGCACCAAACTTTGATTTTTGGACAGGATGTCGCGAAATCAAAAGATGCGAGGAGAGTAAGAGGACCTTGAAAAATCCCTTTGCATCGCGCTTGACCGGTTTTCAATACGACACTAAAACTTCTCAGGATTACAGATCAATGATATATTGTTCCTGTTAAGTTTCGATTTGGGCAAAAGCTGGATTTTTTGGCGTTACTTTTATTGCCGTTGGCCGGAGGACCAAAAGATTGGAAGCACTTTGATGCCGATTGAAGGCTTATTTCTTCTGCTAGCTTCCATACAAGCTCAGATAATTGTGAAAGGAATACGCAGAAATGAAACGGCAACAATAAAGACTGTAAGAAAGAAACCATTGAGACATTGATGTGACTGAGGAGATCTTGTGGAGGGGAGCTTCGTGAAGCAGAATGTTTTGCAAGGACGCGTTAGTAAACTTTTTTAAATGAATCTCCCTAACGGCCAACAAAATCACACAAACAGGCGCTACATGTTTAGAAAAACTAGTGCCGTGAAATCATAATATAATTTTTGACTAACCTCTCTGATGATTCATAGCGTTGAGATTGCATTTTTATTTATGTCTTTCAAACGTTTGAGGCTAGAACTTCAAATTAGAAAATGTGTTTTTAAAGCGAGCGGAACGAGATTTTCGGGTCGCAAGGCGGCCCAGCTAGCGATAAAATCGCGACAAGTCTTCGAACCGCGAGCCAAATTTTTATATAAGACGAAAGACTTCTTTGAAAGTCTAAAATATTACTTGAGAATATAAACAACAAATCTCTGGCGGTGCGGTCCGGAAGGAAATCTTGTCGAGTCAATATGACAGTTCTATTGTCTTTTGAAGAAAAAACAGATGACGCTCGCGCGTGCGCATAATCGGGACACTGTCCCTTTAACAGTTCAGTCAAGTGTCCCTTTCGCAGAATTATGACTGGATGCTTCAGATCACCTGGTGTATCTTCTCTACTGATACGATCACCGACACGAGTTACACCATCATGGTCCACAGGTGGATCCAGTTTCTACAGCGAACTGGTCTTTCTTAACACTTGGTTTCTTTTTGTAGCTTGTTTGTGTGCTTGTTTCTTTTTTTGTTTGTCTCCGTCAATTATAAAAATAGTGAATTGTAATTTGTTTACCCAAGAAGTACTTAGGAGTTCTTACGAACTCGTTTGAACGTGTCCTTGCGTTCCAGATCGAATTCGAATTTTGAAGTGTTGGTTTTTAAGGTGAGGGGAAAACCGTGGTACCCGGAGAAAAGCCTCTCGGAGCAAGGGAGAGAACCAACAACAAACTCAACCCAGGCCACGCTGGTGAGAGGCGAGTGCTCTCACCACTGCGACACCCTTCCTCCCCGTTACGTTACATTTAAGTGGTAGGGAATTTAAAGTTCCTCACCGAACTTTCGTTCTGCAAACAGCTGATGATGGTCTTCTCAGCTTCTTGAGACTGGTAGTGTAACTCCAGATCTTCTCTCGACTTCTCGCCTTCTATGCTTGGACTTGTCACTTGTCTCTTGGGTTTCTTAACTTCTCCTTTTTGAAGCTTGGATTTCGAAATGATCAGGAAATGAAGCCGGACACTTCGTTTCTGACTTGCGTAGCCAATAAGGACACTTTCTTCACCTCCTCAAACAGTAGCCATGAGTTTATGGAATATATCGAGCGGGGATCTCTTCATTACATACATATGTCCATTCTGGCAGTCAGATGCCAAACACCCGCATTTCTTTGCTTTACGCCAGAAGGAGATGGATCGGTCGATCGATGGCGCGAA